TTTGAAACGAAACCGATAATTTTATTTTTTTTAATCAATTTTCGGGGTTTTTTACTTAGATTTTCTATTTATTCTTGAAGATGACCGATTCTGCAAGCGAAGATGAAACTGTTCAGCTTATCGAGCTTAAAGTCAAAACAATTAAAGAAACATACCAATTAAATGTTCGTGAAAATACAAACATTGAAAAGGTAATTTCTTTATTATTAAATTATATTTTCTTTAAATTTTTAGTTGAAAATACAACTTTCTGAGAAAATTAATCAACCGACAGAAAAAATTTGTTTAATATTTTCTGGTAAAATTCTTAAAGATCATGAGACGTTGAAGGAGCACAAAATCGTTGATGGTTAGTTATTTTAATATTTATTTTGGGTAAAATTGAACTTTGTCGCCCCTCCCCTTTCTTTTCTCGAAATAATAATTGCCAAACTTAAAATGTGTTACAAAATTTACTCTATAGCTATAGGTTCCTGTTCTGCAACCAATGCTAACGTTGGGTGTCGATTTCCAATCGGTTCGCACTCTTTAAAAATCATTAAGGGATTAGAAAGTCAACCAGGCTCGTGTTACACACGCACAGCACCATACCATTGGTTCTGTAAATCAGAACGGGTATTTATATCCAGAGTAATTTGTACCACATTTGGATTTTAATTTATATTTCTTTAATTGTGTTTACATCTTTCTTTTTCAGGAATGGTTATTCATATGGTTATTAAAAATCCTCCAACAACTTCATCACGCGAGTCTACTCCTTCATCTGCTTCTTCAACTTTAACAGGGTCACAAACAACTGCAACCACTGGAGCTCCAGGTTCCGCGCCCGCTGCTGGCCCATTTGGTGGAATTGGAGCAATTTTAAGCAATCCGATGGTTCGTGATATGATGAACAGTCCACTTGTTGAAAAGTATTTTTTATTAACATTTTTTAATTCAAAAACTTGAAGAATTTAAGTTAAATTTACCTGATTCTTTATTCAAAGAAAATTAATTTTTTACTTTCAATAGTCTTCTGAGCAACCCAAATATGACAGATATGGTGCGCAATTTATTAGCTGACAATCCACAATTTCAACAAATAATCCAGAACAACCCAGATTTGGGCCATATTCTTAACGATCCACGAATTATACAGCAAACTTTAGAAATGGTTCAAAATCCTAATATGTTTAATGAATTGATGCGAAATCACGACCAGGCCATCCGTAACATACAAGTATATTTTAAAATTGTTTTGATATTTCTAAAATTTTTGTCTTTTAGGGAATTCCAGGAGGTGAAGCAGCCCTTCATAGAATGTATCAAGAAGTTCAAGAACCTTTGATGAATTCTGTTCTTGGTGATGCTGGTACTGGTCAATATGCGGCGAATAATACTCAAGCGCAAAATGGCTCTCAAAATGGTCAAAATTTTTGTCAAAATTCTTATAGGATTAATCTTTTCCAAAAAATTTTTTAAGAACGACTTGATTTACTTATTTTAAGAAAGACTTTTTACTTGAGTTTAAAATGCCTACCACTGTTTATCCCAATAAAATTCCATATTTTAGTTTCCTCACGAAGTCAACATGCTGGAGTGGAAAATGCAGAGGCTTTGCCCAATCCTTGGTCTCGGGTTGTGAATCCGCCACCTCAGCAGAACGCTGGAGGAACAGCTGGTGCTGGAGCAGCGGCAGGCGCAGCTGGATCTCCATTTGGTATGTTTAAATAGCTTTTTCTTATTTTAAAGTGTTTTTTAAAGCTATGATGAATACACCTGGTATGCAAAGTTTAATGCGTCAAGTACTTTCCAACTCGTCAACGGTTGAATCCCTGCTTAGTTCAGCAAATATGCAACAATTTGGGCAAATGATTGGAAATCCAGCAATGGCAGAACAAATGCGATCACTTATGACAAATGCAAATCCACAACTTTTTCAAGCAATGGCAAATCCTCGAGTTTTCACTGCTATGACACAAATGCATCAAGCTATGCAAGTCCTTAATGAGGAATGCCCTCAACTTTTTTCCTCAATGCTGTGAGTTTTTTTTTCTTTTTTTGGTCGGAAAGTTAGAAAGGGTTCATTTATTTGCTTTTTTATTTGTTAATATTTACTTTTCAGAGGTGGTGATATGTTCCGAAATTTGGGAGGAATTTTGGGCTCTGTCAATCAGCAGAATCAACCACCAACTAGTGAAGCTAGCGCTGCAACTGGAGTACAACAAGGAACAAATTCAACTACTCCACAAGGGTAAATTTTATGTTTTTATTGTTTTTTTTATTTAATCACATTCTAGTCCTGCAGTTCAACCTACTGCAAATGCTACCTCTCAAAATCCCGCTATGCCTGCTGGTTTTGCTGAATTGTTGGGGTCTATTGCATTAATGAATGTTGGGAATGTAATAATTTTAATACTTTTCTAAATTTAATAAGAAAACTTTCTTAAGATGCAAAATGCTGGTAGTACTGGAGCCGCCGATCGCCAACCCCCTGAAGAGCGTTACCGCCCACAACTTGAACAGTTAACAGCAATGGGTTTTACAGATCAACAGGCAAATGTCCAAGGCAAATTTTTGTTTATATAAAATTTATTTTTATAATTATTTTTTAGCACTTCTAGCGAGTTTTGGGGATATTAATATGGCTATTGAACGTTTATTGGCAGGTGGACTTTCACCAGGTGGGGGTGATACTCCTAATGATAATGGGGGGAATGTTGAAAGAACTGATTGAATATAATTAAAAATTTAAAGAAAATATGATTTTATTCTTTATTATATACGTTTTTATTAAAAAAATCTTTTTAAACTTCATTTATCTATCCTTTAGAAAATGACAAAAATAAAGTTTAAATCTTTAATATATTATTCTATATACTGGGGAACGTTCTGACAAAAAATAAATTCTCTATCTCGGGAACGAGACAGCACGTTCTCTGTTATATACTACACATGTAAATGAAAAATTTGTTTAAATAATAAGAACTTTAATTTTAAAATTTAAATTTGTAAATAAAAGTTGAAATACAATGATAATTTTAGTCCCTATGTAATTTCTCCCTTTCAGTTTTTCCAACTCTAGTTATAATCAAAAAATCTGAGCCCCAGTTATTAAAAATACAGGGAAGGCTATTCCGACTACGCAAAGGTTGTCCAACAATTACGGGAGGGTTGTCCAACTATGGGGAAGGAGAATAAACGAGGAAGGAATAAAATATTTATAATAGAGTAACATTACAAACATAATTTTTAATCACGCTTTATTTATTCAAAAATAATTAAATCTAAGGAAGAGAGAAGAAAATTATTAAAAAAAAATTTTTTAAATTAATAAGAGAAACGTGTCAAAATCATCAAATATAATAAAACCTTAAAATTATTTAGAATAAACACAATATACAAATTTGTGAATAACAATCAATTTATTAATTTTAAATTAATTCTAAAATGAAAATATTTATTTATGTTTTATTTTGTTATTAATAATATTAGAATTAAATAATAACATAAAGCTTGTGAAGAGCCAAACCCCTGAAGAGCGTTACAGTCAACAACTTCAACAGTTAGCCGCAATGGGTTTTACAGATCGACAGGCAAATCTGCAAGGAAAATTTTTGTTTATATAAAATTTATTTTCATAATTATTTTTTAGCACTTATAGCAACTTTTGGTGATGTTAATTGGGCTACTGTGTATTTATTGACAGGGGGAGGATAATTGGGGTAATGTTGAAAGAACTGATTGAAAATAATTAAAAATTTAAAGAAAATATGATTTTATTCTTTATTATATATACGTTTTTATTAAAAAGAATTTTTAAACTTCATTTATCTATCCTTTAGAAAATGACTAAAGAAAATGACTTTAGATAATAAGAACTTTAAAATTAAAATTTATAAATAAACGTTAAAATACAATAATAATTTTCGTCCCTACGTCATTTTTTCCTTACAATTTTTTATAATATAAACTTGTTCTTAAATTTTTAAACAAAAAGCTGACTATTTTTAGAATTGCGTGTTTTTAACTGCATGTGTCTATTTTCAATGTTAAAACAACATCAACACTAGTGGTGTGCCAAAACAAAAAGTAAAAAGCAAAACGCGAAAAGTGGAAGAGCTAAATCAAAATATTGAAACTTGAATTTAGCCTCATTTCCTTGAGGCTGAAAAAGGAGAGAGATAAAACTGTGAGACACTCACTATTCAAATTCTTATCAAATATTTATCTAAAAAATAAATTAAACTTTTATACTACATCATTTCTCTATTTATAATGTCATTTAATTTATCTTTTTTTGAGACTTTTTTTTGAGCCATGCAGAATAATAAAGATTGTTGTCTGTGAGAATATTGTTTAAGTGTATAAATTAAAATTAATTAAATGCGGGTGCATAACATTATAAAAAATTTACTAAAAATTTACTTGGTTTCATTTTTTTAGAAAATTTTCTGTCCAAGATAAAAAATATTTAGGTAATTTAAATTTATGTACTAATTCTTAATATACATAATTATTCAATTATGTTTTAAATTTCTTTTTTTAATTAACTACTTTTTCAGCTTTTAATTTCTATCGAAATGAATTTTATAATTTCCTAATAATATGTTTTAGTCTGTCATAAGCATTTAATAATTTAAGAAGAAATTACACCTGCCCTATAATTTGAAAATTTTAATTAGTCAACCCCCTATTTCCAATAATTGTTTCATAAATTTTTTATTAAGAAATTTACTATTATTAAAAGAATTTTTAAACCTTATAATTTTATAATTGGAAATAAAAAATCACTCAAACAAACTTTCACCTTCTAATATAAATTATTAGCCCATAATTGCGGGTCCGAAAATGTAGGATAAATATACATAGAATACATATAGGCAAACTTTTCTGTACGAGAGTGAAGTACATCTGGGGTTCTATTTTACTAATCTTATGGTTTTTAGCTAAAATTCACTAACTTTAATTTAATCTAAAAATTTATAAAAATCCCTTAAAAGTACAAGAATATTTTTTAAATGTCCCAAAATAATTCCTCTCCCGCTCCAAACATGGATTTAACGACAGGAACACTTTACACATATACTTTAATACTTACATTAATGCAACAATTTTATGGGACTATAGGCTTTGTTTTTGATGCTTCTATTGTTTATGTAACGGTTAAAAATAAGTGAGAGAAGAGTTTTTTGGATTCTTTTAGGAAAAATTTTTCAGATCCTTACATAAAAGTTATGGTTATTTGTTAGGAATATGTTCATTCTTTAATACTTTAATGGACACTACAAATTTCCTTCCAACATTTCTTGTTTTAATTAAAAAACAAATTTCAATGAAAACGTGTTTTTGGTTGCAGGCATATGGCTCTGTACTTGATATTAATGCTCCTTTTTGTTTATTATTTATTAGTCTTGATAGACTTTTGTCTTTTGTTAAACCAACTTTGTAAATTTATTTTTGAAATTTTAAAGTTAAATAAACCCCTAGAAAATAATTCTTTAATAAATTTATGTTTGATTCTTAGGAGTAATTAAGTGCAACTCTGGGAAAGGGAGGCACAGTTTTTATCTGTATATATCAGGTGTATGCCTTTTCGCTTTCCGTCTTTCGCCAAAATTCCGCCTTTTTTGGACTTTCGCCTTTCGATTTTTTAAATCTGTTTCGGCACATCCCTGGTATATATTTAAATTTCCTTTTTTGCCATTTTCTCTCACTTTCAGAGGAGGAATTTTTTAGAATGGGATTTGTAGTGAAGAAAAGATGTTATAATTATAGTGGAGAATAATTATTATTTAAATTTTAACCTTCAATCTTTCAGAAAACTCAAAGTCCCAATTTCAAAAAATCTCCGAATAAAAATTTTTTAATTTAAAGCTATTTAAATGGATTAAAGAAAAAAGCATTAATTTATGTTCTACTGGCAAATTTTTGTTCAATTTTTTATGTTCTCCTTTTAGGCTTTTTTGCTTACAGAGATATTTTACAGCAAAATAAGTTAATTAATTTTGATTAAAAAATAAATTCTCTTTTTCTTTCTAAAGTATTTTAACTTTTTGTGAACCGGGAGATATTTTTATGGATTCAATGGAAAATATACTTTCATATTCTTTATTTGTTCCTATTTTTATTTCTTTAATTGTTTATTTAATAATTCTGAAATTAGTTAAAGGTAAATTTAAATGAGAAATTAAAATAAATTTTTTTGTAACTCTCACATTCCTGATTAATAAATAGAATTAGGCCGGGCTATGACTATAGATGCTGACATAAGAATCTATTGTCTATTATTTTTAGATTTTTGGAGAAAAAATCATTTTTATATTTGGTACAGAGGTGGGTCGGAACAGTCCGAGGTGTCGGAAATCGAAATTCCGACCCACCTCTGATTTGGAATACAGGAAATTAGAAAAGACTTTTTCGGATCTTTAATTATATTCATGCCTAGCATAATAGAGACCGAACTAGGAGTCTCGTTAACCGAGTTTTTGTTCAAGATTTCATCTAGTCCGATCTCCAGCTTATGCTAACCTTTTATTTTTAAAACATGAATATTTTCAAGAGATAACAATTAATAAATTAAACAATTTTTTAAAGCTCATATTAAAAAACTAAAAGTTCATCAAATGGCAGAACAAATTAAATTTAATCAGCAAATAATTAAATCCCTTCTTTTAATTGTTTCAATTATGATGATTAGTTATATAACATTTAGTATTTCACTTCAAATTGTCCCTCTTCTAATTTCTGATTCAGCTAGTCAATATTTTATTATTCATCTTTCTGGCCAAATTTTGGCTATTGCAAGTATTGTTGATGCTCCTGTTTTGTATTTTTGTAGGTAAAAATGTTTCCTCTTTTTTTAGGGAAAATCAAAAAAAACTTGAGGGAAGAGAAAGTCATTTTTGTTATCAATCTTTGAATCCATTTAAAACCTCCTTCTTTAAAAAGATTTCATCGATCAAATCTCTCACAAATATCCATTCCCGTATTTTAAATTTAAACAGAATTTAAAGAATTGTTTTAATAAAAAATAGCCTCAACCCTTAATTTCTCCCTTAAAAAATAAAATATTGAAAAATTTTTATATTTATTTTTAGTTCTGAATATCGTAAAGCAATGCAGAAAGATCTACCCATAGTCAAAAAACTTGCAATTTGGATTTCGAATTTTAAATAAATAAAAACAAATATTTTTAGAAATTTTTATTTTTTTTAAATTTAAATAATTATTTTTTAATGAAATTATTAACAAATAGTACATTGCACTTTTAAAAAATAAAATATTAATAAATAAATGACTAGACTATATTTTTAATTATATTTAGAAATATGTACTTATTTTGTACTTTTTATTATTAAAGTATTTCTCTCCTTCAAAAGTGTAAAAGGTTATTCAGCAGCTGGGAGCGAACCAGCATCTTCAGTAGACCGGACTGATCAGTTAGTCATTACACAACGCCGCCTACTTATAGCCTTAGGAATTTATAAGCTTACATTATTTATTCTTTCAAAATTTCGACTTTAGTCAAAAAATTCTTTGGAGAATATTTTTTAATTTAAGGAAAGAAAAATTAAAGTGGAAATTAAAATTAAAAAATTAATTTTTAATTATATTCGAAAATTAGAAACAAACAAATTTAATTTAAAAAATTATTTCCTAATTTATTTAAATCCACGCCAAAATATTCTACGCCCAAACATTTAAATTTCATAAAAATTTGCACTTTAAAACTTGCCCTTAATAAATAAATAGAGGAGGCAAAGAATATATTGTTAGACATTTATTTTTAAATAAATTCTTTAAAATAAAAATATGTTAATTAAATTAATTTTTCTAATTATTATTAATCAAAATGTGTTATTTTCTATGGATTGGAATAGTGGTGGTGGTAGTGGGAATAATAATTATAATATAGTAAATATTTGATTAATTTAAAGTTAAAAATTTTATTATTAAAAACAAGGACCTGGAAAACGGATCTTGAAAACCTCCCCTCGAAACACACATTTTTATTCATTTTATCCTTAATTTCACCTTCTATATATACTAGTGACCGAACCGAAACGAGATCTCGATAATCGAAAATTTTGATTATCGAGATCGAGAATTTTTCGAGATCTCGATTCTCGTACGACACTCCTAGTCCAGTCTCTAAAACATGCAATAAAATATTTAATAATGTTTAGAAAATTAGTTGACGTTAAAATTAAAAATAAATCTGAGAATTCTCTTCCCAAATATTAAAAATTAATTTCTGAATTTAATTAATTTATAGCTCAATCATTTGGCGAAAATACAAACAAATTTAATTAAATTTAATTTAGAATTCGATTCAAATGAAAATTTGAATGAATTAAATGATTATTTTAATTCAAATTTAAATAATTTATTTAATGATTTGCCGAAGGATAATAATTATTATAAAAATTCTCCGATAATTAGAGAATTAAATAAATTATATAATTCAATTTCGTCGCTTTTGGAGAACAATATTACAGAGACAAAGTATTTTAATTAAATTAAAATTTAAATAGGAAGGGAAAAATAAATTTATTTATTTCCTTTCTTATGTTTTTATTTTCTCGTTTCATTTAAGAGTTTCTTTGTTTTCACTCCTCGTATTTTTCTCCTTTCATTAAAATCATAGAAAAATTTGTAAGAAAAAACTTGGGAAAATTAAAAAATAAAATTAAATTTTGTATAATTAAAAATAGATTAAGCAGAAATTCAACAAAAAAAGGAAAAGCAATTATTAGTAGTAGTAGTAATTATGTACCATTATTGGGAAAACAAAATGAGGAGAATATAAAAAAATTAGGAGAATATATAGTTAAAGCTAATAAATTATTTTTACCAAGGGAAAATAGTGATTTAAATTATTTAAAATGTTTTTACCCTCTTTTGGAATTTAAACAAGTTGAGGAAATTAATTTTGAATTTGAAGAGGCTAATGTATAATTAATTATTTTATTAATGTGGGAAAAAATAAAAATTGTTTTTTTGAATTTAAAATTATTAAAAATTAATGATGATTGAACGGCGCCCAATACTTGCTGGAAACTGTCTGACCCTTATTAATTTTGATATCGGTCTCCTTAGCTCGATGAGGGGAATCGTTTAATTACTAAATTTTGTAAGATTATGTAAGGATATTCACCTAGCAGCATTTAAAACGCTTACGCGGGGGTTAAACGATCTAAAGAGGAAAAAATGAAAGCATTAGTCGATGCCCCGGTAGCTCAGTAATAGCGTTCCTGTATATGGTGAGCGAAAGCGCCTAGCAATAACTGTCAAGAGGTTGCAGGAAATCTTGAATTTTGAATTTGAAGAAGCTAATATCCCTAAATTAATATATTCTGGTAACGATTTTAATTTTCCAGATTGCCCTTCTCTTCTCAAAAATATTATTTTTGGCTGACAAATTTGATGAAAATATTCGTAAAAATATTCGAAATAATCTTCGAAATAATACTAATCTAGATTTATATAAATATTTTAATTTAAATTTTAAGCCTATAATTGATCAATTCTTGCCCAAAATAAAAGATAAATCACAAAAATTACATTCAATTTATTTAACTATTAATCGGTTTTTGAATAATGTAACGAATAATATTGGCGGAGATAAACAATTATTATTATATATTAATTATATGAAAATGAGTTTATTGTCAAATGAACGAAATTATAATAAACAAGAAGAATATTTAAAAATATTGTTAAATTTATAAGAAGAAAGAAACGAAAGATTTTTTAAATTTTCTTTTAAGTTTTTGATTAACAATTAATCAAGGTTAAAAAAATATTTTTAATAATTATGTACATATATTATTTCTTTAATTAATATATTTTCAACACAAATAAAGGCACCATAAATTTTTTCCATTAAATAGCCAGCCAGCTTTACTTTGAGCTTTTTCTTCTTTTTGTTTATTAATACAATCTTCAGAATTTTGTAATGGACAAAGTTTTGTTTGGTGAATTAAAGTTTTACAATTTGCATTTTGAGGGCCGCTTGAACCTCCCAACCATTTTCCAATTACTGGAATATTTCCCAGACATACTGAACCTTTCCCAGAATAAAAGGAAAGAATTAATTCGTCTTTTTTAACTTTTGCTTGAATAAAACCACCAGTTGACATACTAAACCATTCATCAGCTTTCCACCACCAATGTTCTGCTGGGTAACTATTTGGAAATTAAATATAATTTGTTTGTAAAAAATAAAATATTTTTTAATTTTAAATAAGAAAAAGAATTTTAAAAATTAAATTTTGATGGGTTTTAAATATAGTTTAAATAATTTTGGAAAGGTTGACCTGAAATCTAGAATCTAGCGTTAAACTTTGGACGGCCGTAACTCGGGCCAAAGTCATTTTGCAGAAAAACATATCACTTCACAATAGGAAGTCGGGTGCAGTGCTTCGAAATTTCAAATTTGCTCGTACTCGTACTCGTACTTCGTACCAGGTACGAGTACGAATTTTGGTACGAGCTTCGAAGCACTGGTCGGGTGTCCTCTAACAAATGGTACCAAAAAATATATCGAATTCGCACAGACAAGTAAATACTTGTCAGGCTTAAATGCCTCTTTTTTATTAAAAAATAAAATCTTTTAACTGTACTAAAACTTTAGCTCCTTCATTTTTACTAAATTCATCCCAATGATGTTGACTTCTATCAGTTGCTGCTCCAGCACCAGAAACAATATAATTTAAAATTTTATTGTCATTTTTAACAATTAAATGTTGCAAATTATGGTCATGTCCACTTAAATAAGCAGAAATTTTAGCTTCTTTCATTTTTAAATCCAAATCCTTTAAACATTCATAAAATGAACCATGTCTACCAACTGAATATATTGGATAATGACCAGCAACAAAAACATATGTTGCACTTGATGGAGAACTTCTAAATATTTTTTTAATTTTTTTCTTCAATAATTTCTTTTAATTTTACATATATTTATTTAATTCCCCAATAATCCAATCTTTTTGTTGTCCAGCAAACGATTCTTTATCTGGAATTGGTGTATGTGGATTGCTATTTTTTGATTCACTAAACACCCAATTTATTATTCTATCGCCAACAACATCTTCTGTCATACCACAAAGTTGAACCTACAAAAAATTAATTTTAATTAAAAATTCTCATTTCTTTAGAGTATTTTAAGAGTAGGTCTCTAACAGAAAATTTAAAAATTTATTTTATAAAAAAACCAACAGTATCAATCATAAGAAAATCGAGGGAAATTGTTGTTTTTAATTTTTTAGCTCCAAATTCATATCTAATTTTATACCAAGGTTCATTAGCATTTTTACCAGGGAATGTCCTTAAATTTAATTTTTTTTTAAATTTAATTTTTATTTTTAAAACCATCTAGTACTCCTATTTGTATAATCAATTTCAGCTTGTACATTTCCATGATAATCGTGATTACCAGGAATTGAAAACCAAGGAACACCAAGTGTTTTTTCTTCATAAACATCTTCGAATGTTTTCTGAAATTTTCTTTTTCAAAAAATTTTTTTCAATTTTTTTTACTTGAAAACGTTCATCATTAATATTTTTTACCCCATTCATATAAAAATTATCCCCTAAATTAATTATAAATGCTGGCTGATCATCTGCTGCTAATTCACTCATTGCAGAAGAAACACTTCTTTGAGCATGTGTAGAATAAGGAAAAACTGGTGACCAAAGGGAACTACCTTTTAAATTATTTTTATTTTAAAATTTAACAGACATAAATACCTCCCATATCCCCAATAATATAAAAATTTAATTCTTCTTTTGAATCAAAAAAATCTTTTTTACAAATAACATCATTAAAGTTTGAATCATGAGGATTTTTGGTACAAATTACACGTTGTTTTGGATCACTAAATCGGTAATTCGATGTTTGTTCACTTATAAGTGAACGATCGCCTTCTTTGGCATTTATAAATAATAATTGTAGAATTATATAAAATAAAAATAATTTTTTCTTCATTTTATTTTAAACTAGAGAGAAAATAAAATTATAATTAGGAGTGTTCACGATCGGTTTTAAACCCAAAAATTTTGATATTTTTTCCCAAAAATTGCCCGTTTTTAAAAATTTAAAAAACCGAAAACTTCTGAAAATGAGTGATTTTATTGAAAATTCCTACAAAATAAAACCGGTATTTATCTAAAACTCAAAAACGAAAACCGAGTTTTTTAAATTTAAATTAACCGAAAATTAGGGGGTACGGTTAATAACCGGCAATGAATAATAACCCTAGTTATAATTAATAAAATTTAATTTTCCAAATTTTTATTTAGCAATTTTTTTAATTTAAAAATAATTTTTATTTAATAGAAGATGAAAAATAAAATAAATTTTTCCTCCCATTTTTATTTCTTTAATTTTTCATTTAAAAATTAAAATAATTCTGTTTAACAAATTAAATGCAGATAAATTAATCTTTATTTTAAATTACCCTTATTCATTTAATAATAATTTTCTAGCCGGTTTTTAAATTTATTTAAGAGTACTTGTACATACATAGTTGTTTTTTTGCATTTAATTAATTTTAAAAATTAATTTTAAAAATAATTTTATTGTAAAAAATTAATTTTACTAAAAAATAATTTTTTTATTTAATTTTATTTAAGATATACCACCAATAATGTTAATCTTTTAAACACGTTCTTTTTTTAAATAAAATAAAAAGTTTATTGAACATTAATTGTTGATCAAAATAATAATAATAAATTAGTATATTTGGGTAATTGAAGTCTTAAATAAATTTAAATTTAATTTGTAAATATAACAATTCCTACAAGAATAACTCTGAAGTCGAGTTTAAAAAAAGAAATCAAAATAAGGAGGAAGAAAGATGTAAAGGAATATTGTTAAATGAACAAAACAAGAAGAATTCGGGTGTTTTTTTAGCTTTCCTTAGAATTGTTCAGAATTTTTTTAATTTCAGATTCCCGAAGCAGCATTGACTTTAAAATGTCGTTGTCCAATGTTCCACTAAATTTGCGTCATTTTGAGTAGATGTCGGTTGCTTCGAAGAATTTTTTAGTTTAGTACCTGATGAACAAAGAGAGTTTTTTTAGGTTTTTCTCTATTTTTTTGCAAACTAGTTAAATTTAAATGAATGACATTCATTTAATAAAAAAAGAGTCGATCCGTAAAGGATTCGAACCACCAAATGTAGATTCAAGGGGTTGGTCCCAACTAGGGGTTCGGCAATGGATCTTTTCAATGTCAATACTTAGAATACTGAAAAGTAACGAGTCGGTGCCTTAAGCTACCAAACTCTGCCGAACACTTAATATCCTCAAAGAAGTAGATATCCCTGCTAGAAACAAGTGACACATTGTAAGCCACTAAAATAGACGGGAATATTTTTCCACCCCATCTCTGTGATACTATAAAAGGACGGGGAATTAATCGTAATTATTCCCTCCTCCTTCTTCAACTACTATTATTCTCCATTTTGTCCTCTTCACACAATGCCAACGGTGCGGGAGCAAGATGACGTCGACCATGTTGTCTGCTGCAAACACGGAAAGCCTTGTCAACTCTCAGTGCAACGAGTTCCAAAGTCTGCACGTGGTCAAGAAGTCCCAAGATCGCCAGATGTTGGTCGTTGTGGTGGTGGCAGACGCAAACAGCAGCAGAAGTACCATCAGCAGTCGGATAATAACTCGTCCATCACCGACTTAAGGGGGGCAACTCAAGGCAGTATTAGCAGCTCGTCGACCAACTATGAGAACATCCCGGCTGGGGGATTGCCGAATGAGGGTAAGAATTTTTTTGTGATTTTTGAACGTCTTGAACGTATCGAACTTCTTTAAAAAAATTTTTTATTTTTTAGCGACTGCTGTTGACATTGGCAGTGGTGGTGGCGGTTCTGCAATTACTAGCGAGACGGAAATCACTGAAGATGAAAGCAATCCTGCGACTGATGAACGCCCTCCAAGCCTGGACTTGTTTCGCCAGAGATTTGAAGAGGAACAACTGTATGAGGACATCCACCACGTGGGGATGCATCGATGTGGACATGCTGCAAAGAAGGCTGCCAAGAAGCCAGGCGAAGGTCAAAAGGAAGCTGGGAAAACCAAATCGAGCGAAAAGTAAGAATAAGAATATAACTGAATTTTATTCTTCAATAATTTTTTTGTTGTTTTAGGTCACTTGATAGGCCGGTTGCTCCTTCTGCTGCGGGTGTTGCTGTTCCAATGTAAGTTTCTTAAAAAATTTTTCTTTCAAAAAATTCCTTACACGTTTTTAAAGGTCAACTGCTGATGTCAAACGCATTCCTACAGCGGACATGACCAAAAGCAGGGACCTTGTCAACCCTAAGGAGAAGCTGACTGAGTTCTATGCAGGACCGTGCACACCGAGTGAAGCTGAGCGTCAATGTAAAGCTGCTGGCATGTTCCGTCTCTACCATCGAATTGTGGTTGTCGATGAGGATCAGCTGCAAAGTGTTCTGCCGTTGTTCATTGTCTACAGAAATCTGAAGGGGAAATACTGGTAAGTGACGCAGTCAAGTCTCTCTATAGGAACGCCCTTGGGGCTGAAAAAGTCTATAATGAGGGTTATTTTAAATAGTGTGTCTTATAATGAGGGGTCTCTTAAATAGATGTGTAACTTAAAACTTGTAACTTAAAAACAACTAAACTTAAATCTTTTTTCAGTCATGTCCGAATTGTGCGCTGCGGGAAGGACCTCATAAAGATTGATATTGAAGGAGAGCCCAAATTCCGAACGCTTAGCCAGCTAATCACCTTCTACGACATCTACGCGAAATTCGAAGACGATATGAACCCGTTCCCGCGTAAAGGTGGCGAGTCTGTGGATGATGTCAACTAAACAAGAATTGTAAAAGTATATAAAAATGTTAGGTGATTTGTGGGTATATTTGTTTGTGTGGGTGATATGTAAATATTTGTAAATATAATTGTGTGACCCTATTGTTATGTACATATATTGTTGTGAAATTTGTATTTTTTGTTGTAAATAAATCGTTGATGTCTTGGTATTTTATTTAATTTCCCGCCCCTCCCCATTTGATTAACAAGTTTTGTAACTCAATGAAAACTGTTTTTTAGAAGAATCAGAACGATAGAAAATAAGTACTTGACTTCCTTCGCTTGTAAAAGTTCTCCGTTGAGTTAAATTTCGTGTCAGTGCAGTTCACCAAAAGTTAATTCACCATAAAGACAATTAAGCCACGACAGTTTGCCAAGGGTAGCAAGCTGTTTTTTAGATAAAAAATTCGAACATACAAATAAAGAGCTCATCGATCTGAGTCGAATGACACCAAAATTAACGAAATCCGACTCGCGGAAAAAAGTTTTTGCCGCTGCGGAGGAAGCCGGGCATGTCGAGCGGAACGACGGCCGCCGCTTCGCTACGGTCGCCGCGAGCGAAGCGAGCACGACCGCAGCGAAGCACGGCCATCGTGTAGCGAAGACCATGCCCGGCCTACCCTCCGTAGCAGCACAAAAACAGTTTTTCCAGCGAAGATTCTGGTTGTTTGTGGCAAACTGTCGTTTTATCAATTGTCTTTATGGTGAATTAACTTTTGGTGAACTGCACTAGTGCCTTAAATTTACATGGCTAAATTTACATGTTTTTTTTATAATTTAATAATCAATTAGATTGTATACAATTCGAATATTTGGTAGATAAAGAATTTAAAATTATTTATCAACAAATCTAGCTGTTGAGATTAATTTTTGATTAGATTAATTTCGTCAAAGTTGCCAAAAAAGTTTTTTGGATGATTTAGAGTAGTGTCAAACCCTTCTGATATAGTACCCAATTCCATGTCACTTATAATATGTCAGCTTTGGTCCCGGAAGGGTGATAGTTTAGAAAAGAAGGGAATTCGATAAGGAAGATATTTAATAATAGAAATTTCTTCCCTGAATAGCCTCTCGTCAGATTTGAATTTAAAAACCCCCAACTTTTTTTACCCTAAATTATAAATTAATTACCTAGTTATTTAATTTAAATAATTAAAAAAATATTTTTATTTAAAAAACTAATTAAATAATAAAAATAACAGGTGAATGAATGGCTAAATTTATATGTTTTTTCAAAAAAATTTTTTAATAAATGATTTTAAAATAATTTTTTGCAATTAAATAATTAATGTAGAGTTATAGACAATTTTTTTGAAATAATTTAATTAAAAGTGTGTGAACTATTATTATTTAAAAAACAAGAAAGTTTTAATATCCAAAAGGCATTTCAATTATACCTGCAAATATTTTTTATTTAAAATTAAAAAATAGATTCAAATATTCTAATTTGTTTTGGAATTAGGTAAATATAAATATTCGACTAAATTTGGGCAAATGAACGATAATTTGGATAATTATTTAAATATTTTTAATATTTTATTTTGTTCAATTTGTGCCATTTTCTTACTTATTTTGATAGTTCCTTTGTATAAATTTTCGAAGGAAAGAACTGCACTTTTTATTCTTTTTAGCAAAGTAGGTTTCTATATTTTCTGAAAAAACATAAAAGGCAAATGAGAAATGATTTGGATGTAAAAAATTCTAAATGATACTATAATAGTATAGACAAAGTTCAGTACGCTTGTAAGGAAAAAGAGGGAAAGGAAGGGGAAGGAAGGATATTTGTCGAGCGGAGATGTTAACGAAATAATCTAATAAATCTTCAAATATATAAAAATAATTATTAAATTAATTTTAAAAAATTATAGTCAATTGCCAATATTGCCTACCAATTATTTCAAATTTACATTATTATTTGTCAATATTTTGAAATTTTGATGACATTTAATAGCTTCTTTATTGCACCAACTGCAGCAATTTTGACAACTTCAATTTATGTACATATAACTGCATTGGCTTTAAATCGTTTTCACGCAGTTTACTTTACTTTTAGTTATGAAATAATTTGGAAAAAACGGTAAAATATATATTTAAAGTTTAAACCCGTCTCCAGAACCAATTTTTTAACTTGGAAACTTAGCACATAAGCTTAGCACAATTGGTGCATAAGAACCTAGGAAACATAACGCAATTATTTTTCACAAATAATTCACGCGACATAATCTTTATTTTTCTAACTTTCTCACATTTTCCATTTCTATTTTGTCACGAACCATTTAGAAGGGGGCAACCCTAAAGGTCTACTCCCCCTAGGCCTAAACCCTGTGGCCCTTCACCTTGTAGACATTCTGACTCTGAAGACCTATACACTGTTGACTTTTTTACTCTGAAGACCTACAACTTTTTGATCAACTCGTATTTTTTGTTTTTTCTTTGCATTTTAATCGATGTGGGGTTAAAAGGGAAAAAAGACTTGTAGGGATTAATGGGATATCGGGTGGATCTAGAGGGGTTATTCTTTTTCTTTTTTTTATTTTTGACGTCCTTTTATTGATTTTTCAAATTTTTTTTTTAAAATATGCAAAGCAAGTTTTCTTTTGTGTGTATATTTTACATATATATATTTTAATCGATTTTTTTTCAATTTGAAAGTAAAAGATACTTAATTTGTTTTTTCTTTTTTCCACATATTTTATTTTTTATTTTTTGAAGTAAATTTAGTTTTTTTTGCAAGTTTTATAAATATATTTTTGCTTTTTAATCTTTAAAATATTTTTTCCGTATTAATATTCAAACTTTTTTTATACAAAAAAACTTTTTTATTATTTTTTGAAGATTTTTAACTTTTTTCCAGAAACATTTAATTAATTTTTTAAATTTTAACATTTTTGTTCGTTTTTTGCTCAAGTTCAATTTTCTTTTTATTCTATTAATTTTTCTAAATCATTTTTAATAATTTTTTAAAAGCAAAAAAACTTTTTGATCCAGCGTGCTGTCCTTTGTGTTTTTTGGGAACATTTTACTTTCGTTTCAAATTTTCCTGTTCTGTGAGTTGTGGGCCCGACCTTTTTTGATTTTAGTAAGTGTTTTGGGTCATTGATTGGTTAAGTATGTATTAAGTTAAATATTTTTTTCTGTTTTGAAAAAATTGTATTTTCTTTCTTTTATAATGTTGTTTAACTTTTTTTGCTTTTATTTTTATTTTCTTTTGTTCATTTTTTAGGTTTTTTGTCGAATGCAAAGAAGTTAAAAGGGAAGGGGTTTTGGTATTGTTCTGGGCCAAGCTTCATGTTTGAATTTTTTTTCTTCAAAAAGCTTCTGTTTTGAAGCAATTTTATATTTATTATCTATGTAAACAATATTTTTTCAAAATACTTTTAGGCTAGCGTTTAATTTTTAAAATTTTTTTCATCGTTTTAATATTTAATTGTTTTTTTTTATATGTTCCTTTTATTTCAAAAAATATTCAACCTTTAAACAATCCTTTTACGTTTTTAAAAATGCTTTCAATTTTCTTTTTATTTTGTTTTTTTAAAATTTTATCTTATTAAGACTTTAATTTTTAATTTTATTTGCCTCTTTTTTAAAAAAAAGTAACATAGTTACAAAGTCTCTTTAAAAATAAAAGTAAACACAGTTTACAAAATTTAATAAATCTTGTTTTGTTTAATATATTTAAGGATACTCTAGATCCAAAATAGAGTATTTCAGTTTTTTTTCTTCTTCCTTAATAATTGAGTTTTTGTCTTCTATCTTTAATGTAAGAACTCCTTCTTAATTTTTTTTGTTTTTTTAAAACTTATTAAATTAACCTTCGTTTTTATTAATAGTTGTTGATTCTAATATAAATTCATCATTTTGATTAAATATTATAGTATTTGGGTAAAAAAATTGTGCTTTATTTATACCGTCTGTTATTATGGTGCCATTTGTTTTTGTTTTTGTATTAATTAATGTAGGCTTTTTAATAATGCTCATTCTGATTTTGCCTAATATTTTTAATTTTGTTTATTTATTTTTTGTTTTAACAATTATTAATACTATTTTGTCTTAACTTACATTTTATTAATCCCGTAATTTTTTCAATATCTTTTAAACAATTAATTTCTTTTTGCTTTATTTTTTTTTCTTGAACTTCTATTTTACTATTGTTTGTAAAATTAAAAGCATAAAGTTCTTTTCCAAATCCTTTGTAGTTACATTTTGTAATTTGATTATTACATCCTTTAATTTTTAATCTTAATTTATTTTTAAATTTTACTTCTTTTCCTGCTAATAAGAAAAAGAGTAATTCTGCTAAAATATTCCACCCTGTAATTTTTGAAGTAGAATTATTTATAAGTACTGAAACATCAAGAACTTTTGCTTGATATTTATTTTTAACTACAACTGAGCGGACTTCTTTTATTGAAAATAATTGCACCGCAACATCTCTAAATTTTTATTTTCTTTAAAATATATCAACTTTTTTTTAATATTAAGTTATATTTTATTTATTTTTTAAAAAATTTTTTGCTTTTAAAAAACTTACACAGAATTGTCTATCTGTATTTCTTCAATACTTAAGGGTTTAAATTTATCATCAATTGCAAATTTTTTTTTCAAAAAATCAAAATAAGTTTTTTCTGAAATATCTTTCATTTCAATATTACCCTTAGTAACTAATTCAACAGATGAAGTATCTCTTGAATCTAATTCATAATTGACACTTCCATAATTGTAATTATTTGCAACTTGTTTTGCAGTAAAATTTTTAAAATTATATGTTTTCATCTTAAATTATTTTACCATAAAACTTAATTATTTTATTTTAACTACCAAATATGAAGTTCCAAATTCAGTTAATATTCGCTCATAATTATTATTCCAAAATGTAATATTTACGTAATCATATATGAAATTTATTTATTTTTATTTCTAAAATTTAATATTGAAACAAACCCATCTGTTCCAACTATAGTCCAAACAATATGTTTGTCTTTAACCATTCTCACAGCATCATTAGTTATAATTTTTAATTTTATGTCACTTAAAAAATCAAACTTAAAAACTAAATTAAGTTGCTTTAAACCTTTAAAAATCATTTAATTTTTAATCCCTATTTAAATTTAAAAACTTACATCATTGCTTCACCCAACTTAATTGATTGAAGGGGTGATTTTTTGCTTTTTTTGGGGGCACTTGAAGATTCCATTTTTTATTAAGAATTTTATTCTTAAGTTTATTTTTTATATTTATGTTTTAACAAAATATACTTTGTCTAAAATTTTTCTGATTTAAATAGTTGAAAAATGTTTACTTTTATTTTAAAAGTTAATTAATTCTTTTGTATTTTATTTAATTTTTGTGTTATTAATAATTTTAAGTAAATACTTTTGTATTATTTTGTAAATATATTTTGTTTACGTTTTCTTAAAGTTTTTTTAAACTTTCTTTTATCATTTTTAAAAGTAAAAAACGGTTTATTTTTTGTTAAGGATATTTTCATTAAGCAATTTTTCAATGATTAAAAGGTAAACAACATTTTTTTAATCAAGTGGCGATAAATGTTTATTTTTTAAAATGATTTTTTTAAATAATAGTTTTTTTTACTTTTAAAAAATTAAATCCAAAAATTCGTAATTTAAAAAAAATTTTTTTGTTTTTCTAAATTTTATTTGTATAATGTTATAACACTTCCTTCCATACTATATTTTTAATTTTATTTTCATTTTCATTTAATTTTATTTTTATCTTATTCCATGATTTTGCTCTTGATAATGCTACATAAGTTTGTCCGTGTGAAAAAGATTCTTGGGTAAAATCAATTCCTATTTTTTCAAATGTTTGAGATTGACTTTTGTTTATCGTGAATGAAAAAGCTAATTGTACAGGGAATTGATGACGTTTTAATATGAAAGGGAATTTTTTTTCTTCAATTAGGGTAATTCGAGGTATAAGGGTTTGCTCTCCAAATTTATCACCGCTTATTATTTTGCAATTTAACACATTTTTTCCAATATTTGTAACTTGTAATCGTGTTCCGTTACAAAGACCTTCACTTAGATTTAAATTTCTTAGAAGCATTATTACGGAATTAATTTTCAATGTAAGTTTATGTTTTGGGAAATTAGCACAATTTAAGGAATTGAGAATTTCAGGTGTAATTTGCAAAGTACTATTTTGTTCAGTTTCATCTATACTTAAAAAGTCATATTGCTCACCAGGAAATTTTTTGATGATTTCTTCATTATATTTATCTACAATTGTATTAAAAGGCGAAAGGATTGCATAATTATGAATCTTTTCAAAATTATTTTCTTTAATTTCTTCTTCAAAAATTTCTTCAGCTAATTCTTTTTTACAAATACTAATTGTAGGAATAGTTATATATTCGCTTTCTTCTTTTCCGTCACCGATTTCAATCAAATTTTTTGCAAACTCTTTCTCATTTTTATCAGCTCTCATATTTTCTGTCAATTTCAATTTCAAAAAACTATTCCATAAATTCGATTTTTTAATAGTTAAATCAGTAATTTCAGATCTTGTAGCAAATTCTTTGATCGGCAAGCACTGCCTAAAATCGCCACTTAAAATGAAAATTTTTCCTCCAAATAAAAATTCGTTTTTCATTATTTCTTTTAATTTTTTATCAATTATCTCTAACAAATATCTAGATGCCATTGGAGCTTCGTCCCATACAAAAATTTCTGTATTTTTTATTTCTTCTGCTTCTTTACTATTTAGTTCAATATTCGAAATTGAATTTTTTTTAATGTTTAAAGGCAATTTAAATCTATTATGCAAAGTTCTTCCTTTTTGTAATTGTATTGCTGCTATTCCTGTAAAGGCCATATTACAAATTTTTTTATTTAAACTTCTTGATAAATGATAAATTGCTCTAAGTACAAAGGATTTGCCTGTTCCTCCTGGTCCATCTATAAAAATACACTTTTGTTGATCTTTTTCCAATATAATACTTTCTAGTTTTTCAATAATAATTTTTTGGTCCTTATTCATTAGTAAAATTAATTGCTCCTTCTTTGCGCATTCTTCTTTTAAATCAAAAATGTCTTCTTCTTCAAAATTATTAATTGAATTTACTAATTGGGGCATATCGCTATAATCTTTCAAAGATTTTTCTTGTACTTTTAGATTTTGGTCAATTAAAAAAAGACACATTTCTAAAAGTTTCTCATAGGAAAAATTAAAATACTTTTTTTTAAGATCTTTTATCATATGATCTTTAAACTTTTCCCATAATTTTTTTGGATTTTTAGGTGTACAATGAATTAAAATATTAACAAAAAGTATTCTTAAACCTTTCGGATGTTTTCTTGAAAAATAACTTGCTTCTTCTAAGCATTTCTCCCATTCATTATCATCTTTAGCTAAACCTCTAGCCAAGCATGCTTTTGCAAAAGTATCATATGTTTCTCCATTTACAGTTTTTAATTCATTGAAACTTTTAGCAGATACATTTAGTAATAAATACCTTAAATAATATTTTTCAATGTCAATTGGATTTACTGGATAAATTCTGCCTATTTTATTAAATTTTTTTATTCTAGGATATTTCCATTTTTTAGTTTTTTTAACCCATGTACAATATTTTGGCATTTCTATATATTTTAATTTTAAACTCGGATTTTCTGTACAAAATTTAAAATAAGCTGTTAAAGTAGAGTCTTTTTCTGAAGCTTCTTGTATTTCGATTTCATTTGCATTTTGTTGAAAGTAAACATTTTGCATTTTTTCTAAATGAATATCTAATTTATCAACTGAATGCGACTTTCCCTGTAGAGGAAACTTAAAAATGCGCCAACATGCTTCACATGGACTTAAGTATCGAGCTTCTAAATATTTACTTACTTCATCATAATTTAAAATTTTTTGAGTATTGTCATTATTAATCTGAACACATTCGATTGTAGCTGCATCATATCCCTTATAAATATAATCATATAAATATTTCACAACTAAAACGTCACTCACTCTCTCTACATTAATATGTGCGCGAAATGTTTTTAATAAAAAAGGATTATATGGGACCACGTATTGATTTGTTAATTTTTGTCCTTTTTTATAAACAAATCTATTATTATTTGGTCTTTTATAAAGTGGATATCCATCTTCTGTAATTTCAGTTACTTCTCTAAACTGTTTTGGAAAATCTTTAGTACATTTTTTTCTTTTTATGTCCCAACATATAGATTTTTCTAAACACGGTCCATGCATCATAAAAGTGGAAACTAAATTATAAAGTTCAGAATCTTTGTTTCTATCTGGTATTTCTGCACTTATAAAGTTGTCAATGTCGTTAGTATTATGCCATTTATCTTTTTGTTCTAATGTTATTAATAAATGAATATGTGGTAATCCTCTTTTCTGGTATTCAATTACCCAACAATAGCCTATCACTTTTCCAAAGATATTTTTATTTAATATAAGTTCTAATAAATATTTTTTTTTCAAATTAAATACTCTGGTAACTATATCTGGTCTATCTGACACAGTTTGATCTTTAAAAAGGCATTTTAATATATCAGGGTCATTTGGGTTACATGTAAAAGTTATAAATAGATCAGGTTTGCCCGTCTCATTAACTATAGCCATCGCATCCATAAAATTTTCATGCATACTTCTTGGACCACCAATAAAAGTTGAAGGAAGTATTATTTTCTTTTTTATTTCAGCCTCACTTTTTCCTGCTTTTTGTTTTAAAAAATCCTCAACATTCGAATAATTACTACTACATAATTCCTTTTGGTGCTTTTTAATATATTCTAATCTTTCCCATTCTACTTTTGAAGCCTGATCAACAATCCACTGTTGAAATAATTTTTTTGAAAAAAAATGTGGCATAAACTTATTTTCTTTAATATATAAGAAAAAATTTACGTAGTCACATAAAGTTATTTTTTTCGAAAAAGAATTTTTTAACTCAAAATTATGGCCAAAAGTTGAAGTTGGATATAACAATGGGTAACACATCGGTTCTACGCATTTATCCAAAGGATATAAATTTTTTAATTTTTTTTCTGTTTTTGGATATACAACAATATTTGCTGGTGGAAAATCATTATTGGCATCGCTTACTAAAATTGCACAAACTTCATTACTTATAGGAATATTGAAACGTCTTTTATCATAATTTTCTTTTAGACTAAAAAGTAATCTTATTTCTGGTATCTCAACTCCATTTTCTAGATAATTTTTTTCATATTCAGTATAGACATCCTTCATTAATTTATATGATTGAGCAAATTTATTTTTTTCTCTTATTATTTTTTCAATATAACTAATTATATTTGAATCTAAATTTGTGTTTTGTTTAGTTATTAAATCAATTGAAGTCGAAGAATCTAAAAAATATAATTGTCCGTTAGTTGGTAATTCATTACTATTAAAAGGTTTCGCACTGATATTAAATTTATGATATAATTGGCCTTGAATTTTATAACATGGCGGACCCGGTGTCGGAAAATTAAATTTAAAGCAACTTATTGAAGCACATGCAAAAGCATTATTATACTGCCGTATATTATTTATAAAATTTTTATTATAAGGATGACTTTCATTAAAAAGAGATTTTAATTCTTCTGGATATTCTTCTATTTTATCGTTTAGAGCTTTTAATTTTCCCTCTTTACAGCAATTATTAAAACAAAAAGATTTAGAGTGATTTGTCTTAATTTGTTCTTCTTGAAAATGAATAGCATTACATTCGTTACACAATATATTAAAGTTGCCTAGATTATAAAATTTAGCTAACTCATGTTTTGATGCTTTTTTTTCAGTTTTACTATAGAAAGAATCATCATCCTTATCCAAATTTATATAAAGATTCTTATAATTAATTTTTCTCTTTAATGAATTTTCATTCCGCTTTTCAAAACCGGAGCTTTGAACCGGATTAATTCTGTTATCGTTTTCTATATTTTCTAAATTTGAAGCCAAAACATTAGTAGTTGCAATACTTATTATTGAAGATGAAGAACATGGCAAATCCTGTTGAATTAATTTTTGTTTCTTTCTAACCATTTTTTCTTAAGTTTCTAAAAACAAAAAAATATATTTAAAAATCTTAATTTAAAAAATATAACATTTTATTCTTTTAATGGATCTGTTTGTTTAAGAAATGTTTTGTGAAAAGCTTGCTAAAAATTGCAAAAAGATTATTTTTCTTAAAATTTCACTTTATTAAAAATATTTTTGAAATTTAAAAGAACAAATTATATGTAGCAAAATAAACAATTTAATTTTTTCTTCAAAAATTTTAAAGAGTTAATATCTTATTCTGAAGAATCTATTTTGATCATTTTGTGTTTAAAAATCGGAAAGTTATCATCTTTTTGAACTATATAATTTTTAACTTTCTTAATAAAACATTTTACTAAGTTTCGAATTTTGAAAAACTTTTTTTGACTTTTTAATGATAATTTTACTTTATAAGAAGGGAAAAAATTACGGTATTTAAAAAAAAGAAAACAATTTTTTTAAAAAAAATGCAAGTAATTTATTTTGATTTACAAACAAAAATTAATTCTTGAAATTTTAAAAATTCACTTTAATAAAATAATTAAAGATTATTTTATACGTAAGGAAAGTTATTCAAACAATAAAAAATAAAATACATGATAGTGGAAACGTTTTGCATTTTTTTCAAGACAATGTTTTGGTTAGATACGTATATTTCAAAATTTTTTTTCATCGTTTTTTGGTAAATATTTTGATTTAAATTTTTAGTGTTTTGAATTTTTTGTTTTCCTTTCTCGTGACCGCACAAAAAACCCAAACCATAAAAGAGCCATAAGGCCAGATTTAAATCTTTTGTAGAGGGCCTCCTTTCTAATTAATTTTTAACCAACTATTCTTGAACTCTTGTCTCTGGCCTTTTCTTGACTTCGGTTGTGTAAGTGTGTTGAAGTCTTTTGTTTGTCTAGCACAGCCGCATAAGTAAGAGAACAATTTTGCGGCTGTGTTAGAGTATTGTGAAGAGGTGCAAAGAAGGAGAACACTTATGCGGCTGTGTCAGAGAATTTTATACACTTTTATTTTTTACGTCTTTTGTACATTTTTCTCTAAACTAACAATGAAAATCTTTCGCTTCAAAATAAATTCACTTTTTAAAGCCAAAAAACTTGTAAACAATTATATCGTTTTAGTATAGTTAATATATATTTCTTTATAAAATAAATTAATTAAATTTATTTGGATAGATTTAAAAAATGTTTCTCTTAATTAGATGAAGTTAAAATACTTATAATTGGCAATTATATTATAAAATTATTTTACGGCACCCTTCCGTTTGGGGGGGGGGGGGGCGCAGTTTTCTTACCATTTTATCCTTTTTAAACCAAATTGATGTAAGTCGCGAAACTTACTAGGTATATTGCAATAAGTCCCCAGGCCCATGGGTTCTGATTGTTAGAACATATGGGCCGGTATCGTGCGTTGTACCTTAATTTTGAGTAAGTGTAGCTATTTGTTCACACAAAAGATTTTATGGGAATAAATCGGATCTATTTTAAGTAAAGCAGTGCTACACAAATCTATTTGACATAGGTCCTAATTGCATAAGCGAGTGTTCTATGATGATTCCCAACAGAAAAATCCACATTGGTCTCATAATGCTAAGAGCCCCCCCCCCCCTCCCAACGGCAGAAGTGCCATTTGTTCTTACATACATATGATTTAATAAAAATATCAATTTTATTTAAAAAAATTCCAATTGAATTAAATTGTTATGAACAATTTTTATAAAAGTATAGGTTAAATAAATATTCTAATTAAAATTTAATTTAAACATTCATTTTAATTATCAATTACATATTTTATAAAAATTATTATTTTTTAAAATTATTTTATAAAATAATTAATCAATTAAAAAATTAATAAAATTATTTTTAGAAAAAAATATTTTTTATTCAAACTATAAAAAATATTTATTAACAGCTAATTAAATATATGTATAAGTAAATTTAATTTTAAATTTAAAAATTATTCAAAGATTAATTTCAGCAAGGGATATAAAAAATATTTTAGATACTTAGCGGTATAAAAAATTATTTTTTACATATTTTTTTTTAATTTTTAGAGAGGATTCTGTCAATAATATGTACGAATTAAAAAATAATTTTTTAAATTTTTAAAAAAATTATTAAATTTAAAATATTTCTAAAAATCTTTTAAATTTTAAGCTAAAATTGGAAAATTTTAAAAATTAAAAAAATTGGCAGTAAAACAAATAATTTAATATTTTTTTAATTTTAAAATAAATGTACATTTATATATGTGTAAATATTCAATAAAATAAATTAATTTAAAATTTTTTAATAATATTAATTTAATTAAATTCTAAAAATGAATATAATTATTTTCTGCTTTCTTCTTTTTTTAATAATAAATGAAGAAAAATTGGGAAATGTTAATGCTTGTGCATGTGCTGAAACACCATTTGAGATGTATTGTGATTATGAATGGAGTGAGTTTAAAAAAAATTTTTAAGAAATATATAAATAGGCGAAGTTGAAATCCTTAGGGGATTACTCACACTAATTTATACAAATCAAATTAGTGACTTTTTTAAAATATAGTTTAGTTGGCCTCTGTTGGAGAGAGCTCCCTAAGCGATACCTTCACTTTAGTGTTTAATCCATTTTAGTGTTTAATCCACCCTCTATTAATTCCCCATTACAGGGATGAGTTGAAAAAATAGTTCCCCACCCTTGAATACCCTACTACACGTTCAAATTTCAAAACTCGAATAATTCCCCTCCCTTGAATAATTCCCCATACCACGGATGGGTTGAAAAAATAATTCCTCAGGGGAATTAATCGAGTAAATACGGTATGTATTATGATTCATTCCTTAAATTGTAACGGGAATTGATTGCAGGTAATCTTGAAAATAAAATAAAATCAGATGTCAAAATTAAATCCTTTTTTCCAAATTTAACTTTTTAATCCCCCCTCCCTCCTCCTCTCCCAAAAATATCCAAAATAAACAATTTATCTATTTAAAATTCAAAGTTGCCCATGTTTTGCCAATCAAAAATGAAGAAATAAAAATAAATAATTGGACACAACTTCGTTATGAAGTTAATATTTTGAATTCTTACAAGCCTAGTAATGAAGCAAATTGTGAACATAAAAAAAAACTGACTATATAATTACACCTCCAAGTAATAGTGATTGTAGTGTAAATCTTCAAACTAATGGAACTGAATATTTACTTGGAGGTAGAATATTCTAATTTAGTTTAAATAGATAATTTAATTTATTTAAAGGAAGATATGATAATGATGGAAATAAATTAATAAATGATTGTAATATTCATATAGAATGGAATGAATTAAAAGAAGAAACAAAGGAAAGTTTGAATAATGGAACATTGGAAAATAAATGCAAAAAAGATGATAATTGACAAAAATAAATTATTAAAAAAATATAATTTTCTTTTGGAGGGGAATATTTAAAGATTAATTATGGGAAGATCGGTTATAATTAAAATAAATTAATTTTAATTGGGATATTCATTTTGGATTATAAAAACATTTAATTTGTAAATGGATTTCGGGATTTAAAATTTTTTTTGGAAAAGTCTTCAATTTAATTTCAAATATGTAATTTGTATTCTTTTTTATATTTCATTTTGATAAAAGGGAGAATAAAAACTAAAAGTTGGAAATAAACTGAGAGACTTTTGGATGGAAATAAATATTTTTAGTAATACATAAAATAGTGATTGTTGACTTTGATTAAAAAATTCTCATTTACTAATTTAAATATTTTTAAATAATTTTCTTCTCTTTTCCTTAGATTTAATTATTTTTAAATAAATAAAGCGAAATTCAAAATGATATTTGTAATGTTACTCTATCATAAATGTTTTATTCCTTCCACATTTATTCTCCTTCCCCATAGTTCGACAATGGTTTAAATTTGTGGTTTTTCGACTTTTACGAGCCTGTAACTTGGCCTAACAAGTCAGATTGCGCTGATTTTGGTGCCATTCAACTCGTCTCGAAGAGCTCTTTCAAATGAGCTATTATAAAAAATCGAATTTTTCACCTCAAAAATGGTTACTCCCCTTTTTCGATTCTTTTGGTAAACTTTTTGTTTTTTATTTAAAAATAATTTTTGTTAACAAAACAAAAACTATAAAATAACTCTTTTATTTCTTGAAAACAAAATATGCAATACAAAATCTAGGGGGAAAAGAGGTTCAAATTAGAGAATGAAATATATTTATTTATGTAATATTCGAGAGACAATTTTAAATTTTTTCCCTTCCCTCTCATTCAGAGCCTCTAAGAGATGAGTTTTGCGCGTATTTATGCCTTGATTCATTCAGAGCTCCACCGGCTTCTTAGACAGATCCTTCTTTGATGGCGTTTTAGGAGTAGCATGCTTCCGGTCCTTCTTAGAAGATTTCCCACTGCTTGCACTTCGACTGCGAGAACGACTTCCGTCTAAAATAATTAATTTGTTTTGAACAATTAAAATGACAAATTTTAAAATTCACCTTTCTTTCCCTTTCGACCCTTAGAACCCCCGCCAGACTTGCGACTGCGAACTTTTCCAGCATCGGCCTTGGATTTTGCAGCGGACTTGGACTTAGACGCTGCAAATACATAAAATATTAACTGCTGTTTTTCTATTCTAGCCCAAATCTCATTACCTTCCTCCCCGCCATCGCTTGTTGAACCAACTGTCCGACTGCTTTTGCTGCTGCTTGCATCCTTCTTACGACGATGACGGCCGGATGAACCACTTCTCTTCTTAGCCTTTGAAGTCTTCCCATCAGCTCCAGCTTCTCCCGCACTCGTTGGAACTGGGAGTTTACTGCCTCGGCGATGGCTCTTTGCCTTTTTCCCTTTCGATGCCGTTCCAGTACTTCCTTCCGATCTTCCTTTACTCTGCTTTGAATCTTCGCCTTTTTCCTTCATGTCCCTCACTTCCACTGGCCCTACCAAGTAGATTGGAACTGGTACTGGAGCACCTAAACGACTTCAAACTTTCAAGTTTATGTAAACCCGAAATTTACCTTCAAATTCACTTTCGTCGCCTTCACTTTCTGGGCTGGCATTTGACCGCTTCACGCTTCCAGCCTCCGAAGTCCCTTTCTCCGAACCTACCTAAAACAGGAATTGAAAGTTAAACACGCTATAGACATAAAAACATCACCTCATACTCCCCTGGAACGGGATTGTCCACCGGATCCAATGTGACGTAGTAGACCACAGCAACCACGATGGATAGAAGCAGTAGCATGAAGAACATGTTGACGAGACGATGCGGCTTCTGATGAGTTGATGGAACGTTTGGTGTTCGTGTCGAATTGAAGAATGTTTTGTTGGTTTGACATGAATTGCTGCGACTTTTATAGTTTCTTTATTTTTAGACCTAGTTTCTTCTTGTCATGAACCCTATAAAAGCTCGGCTCAATGTACACCGAATAACCTCTTCAATACTCGCAACTCCAACCAACTCCAACCTTTGCGCTCTTCACTCTTCAAATGTACGTTTCATTTTTTTTATTAACTATCTAATTCTTGACTAATCTTTTTCTAATTTTTCAGGCTGGTGACAACTCCCGACGACAGGATCGTGTTCCCGGTCAAGGAGGACTCGCCGCCGGAGCCGCTCGTGGAGCTGAAGATCGAGAACAAAGGAGACACGATCCAGCTCTACAAAGTCAAGTGCACGAAGTAAGCGTCAACCATTTTGCGTCGTTTAGGACAGACCTAACCCTCTTTTATTTTTCAGCAATGAGCTCATCAAGATCCGGCCCCCTGTCGGCATTCTGAAACCTGGAAGCTCGGCGACGGTTAGGCTTCTTCTCCTGACCAAGGAAGACCTGCCAGAGGACGACCGCCAATGTTTGTTGCTGCACTCTTCATTTTTGCCACAATCAAGCTTTTTTCCTTTTCAGACGTCGCGGTCTACAACCACGACACCGAAGACTCGAACACGAAGGCGCGAATGCAGTGGGACATGGTCAAGAAGGAGCAGGGCATCAAACGTCTCTACGTGCGCTTCGAACGCGAATAGGACGGAAGCGGAAGATGCGTGATGATCATGAAGTGCCACTGTGATTGCCATGTAGAAAAGATTCTCACCCTTGTGATATATTCCCACTGTATATTGTGTCCTATATGTTGTGCAATCACTCTCATTCTATTATGTTGTAAATGTATTTTTGATAATCTTTTGCCCAAACATTGTTGTATATATTGTTTGTTGAAAATAAATATTTGTATGAGTTTGGCTTTCTTTTATTTTTTTGACTGAGATGTAGGAATAGGGAGAAGTTAAGGAGTTTGAAAGGACTTTTTGCCCTTTGACTGAGGTAAGGAGTAGGAATATAGGAATCATTGAAAACTCTAAATACTCATTGAAATGAATCGTGTTTATTCACAAAATTTTGGTAAGAGAATTCCCAGATCCCTTATAATTTTTAAAAGTGATTGCCTAGAAATTTCCAGAACGAATGTGATTCACAAGTATAAAAGTAGTATCCCCAAGTAGAAAATACCCAAAATAGACTGCCTTTTTATTTGAGTTAACGAAGTTAATAAATGGTTCTCGTTCACTTAAATCTTTTCTGACATCTGATCTTCAAGCATAAATTTAAAACAGTCTCAAAGACATTGAAACCCCCAAATACTCACCATTGAATATAAAATATACTCCTATGACTCTGATGTTTCTTAAACAATTTTGGTAAAATAATTGCCCAAATCCCTTATAAATTTAAAAGCCTTGTATTCTTAGCTCCTTAGATCGGGATATAATTTGAGATTGTTCTGTTTCTTAGATGAATAATATTTTCTGTCTTATAATCTTTTTGTCTCAATAAAAATAATTGAGAGAAGAGAAGCTGAAATTTTGCATATAAGTAAATACTAATTTTTTTTATTTCAGAATTTTTCTTTTATTTATTTACTTCCAACTCTTAAATTTTAAAAAATTCTCTAAATATGGTTAAAAAGGGTTTTACAAGATTTCCCCACTTCCGGCTCTTAAATTGTATTGAAAGTTATAAACTTATATTTAAATACAAAAAAATATTTATTATTTAATGTACTAAAAAACAAATTAGATAAGCAAACCACTAAAAAAGCTTTAGATAGTTGGTTAGATTAAAATAAAGTTTCAACCCAGAACAACTTTGTTTATTATTATAGTAATGTATTGTTTAAATTGACTATTATTACACCAAAATTGTCTATATGCTTTTTTTTAAATTGGCAAAAAATATTTTATTAACAAATATGAAAATAAACAAATAATTGAAACAATACGTCCTAATTAGTTAAATTGAGTGATAAAATTTGGAAAATTAGGAAAATATATAAATTATCTGATTGATTCTCTTTGAATTTTACAAAATTTAAAATAAATTTAATTTAAAATTTAAATAAATTATTTTTTTAATTTAATAATTTTTATTAAATTTATTTTAAAAAGTTTTCCTTTTTATTTTTTTTTGTTCAATAAAACTTTTTTTCCAAAACACTGTCCAGACTAAACCTATCTCAACGTTTTTTTCACAGCATTATGACGGTCCATCTAAAAACTTTTTTTTGACAAAAAGTGCAACAGTTCATAGGCAATTATTTGAATTTATTTTTTGCACAGAAATTGCCTATTTACTTAATATTTTATCTAAGCAGATGCTGAACTTGTATTTTCCCCTTAGTTGACCTAAATAAAAATGTATATAAAATGTCTGTTTTTTGAATTATTTGTTTATTATTTTTCATTTTTTCCTCCCTAAAAAGTCTAAATAAAATTATTTTAATTATTACTTGCCAAAAACACATTCTTTCTTTTAATTCAGAATCCGGGTTTTTCATAATTTTAATTAATATCTTTGAGCTATTTTGACTAGTTTTTAAATAAAATTTTAAAAATAATTGAAAAATAAATTTATTTAAGTGCATCTGAGTTAGTTTTAAGGTAAAATCTTTTTAGTAAAGATTTTACTAAAAAAATTAACATTTCATCTTCTCTAACCAATTATGGAAAACATTATTTTAATATTTTTTTATTCCTCAATCATTTTTGTTTTAAAAACATTTTTTTATTTTTCACAATTTTAATCACTTAAAAATTTATTTTTAAGCACTTTCATTCAAGTTTTTTTTCAAATAAAAATTCATATTTTTCCTTTAAAAATGAGTAAAACACCTACAGAGAAATCATTTGAAGATGATGGATATGAATGTTACAATCCTGTCTGTTCTGCTTTTCGTCAAGAAATGACTGAGAAATATTCTTCTCTTAAAGTACTAAAAAATATTTTTTTGGATATTTTAATTTTTAATTTAGTCTGTGGTTGATGGTTTAACTAAAAAAATTTCTGATCTCGAGTCAGACAATAAAGATGTTGCTGGTGATCTCCAAAAGAAGATTGATACTCTTAACAAAAGATTAACTGACAGTATTAACAACCAAAATACAAGCATTTCGAGTTGCAACAATATTTGCTCTAATGTCATTAATAAAATTGATGGAGTTAATGTAAATAAATAGAATTTAAAGTTTAAAATTTACCAAAAAAAAATTTTAGCAATTGAAGCGTGACATTGATGGAAAGATTGAAAAGTGGGTTGCGGTTATGGCTAAGAATACTCCGACACCTCCTTCTTCTGTAAATTTTTGTTTTTAATTTTGGAAATTTTTTAAAATAATTTTTTATTTTTTTCAAATTCATTTTTAGATCTACAAACATTACGAAAATAAATTAGACAAAATTTCTGACACCCAAAGTTGTTGTGATCAGAATTGTAAGAATTCCAACGGTCTTTGCAATAACGGCAATGGTGTCGTTAAAATTCGCCCGGGAGGGAATTTTGCAATTTATCGAAGTTCGACACAAATTGACAGTTTTGGGAATTTTTGAATTTTTTAAAAATAAAATTAATTTTAAGAAGAAAACCGTTTAATTATGGTTTTGGCCAAGAACAAAAATATGAGTGCGAACATTCCAAGTGACATGCAAGATAATGTTTATGTTACTTTCTACTTTGAACTGACAATCATGATTGATGAGGATAATGGAAATGAGTAGGGAATTTGTTTGAATAGGGGGAAGGGCTTGGCACATTTTTAGGGCAACGAATGGTTTAGTATAGTGAAATTTAGTGTAGGGTTTTGGTTAGTTGGGAGATAATTATTTGATTTTTCTAGTCATTCAAAAAAATTTCTAAAAATTTCTTATTAGTTGTGATGTTCAAGTTGGACTTTTGAAGGACGAGAATACCTATTACCGTATAGGCAAAGACGGAAAGTACCACACAACTGACAGAAACAACAACTCTATTTTTAGCGATCCAATTGTTGGAAATTTTGTTGTTGGTGTTGGACAGACTTTTGCACCTCGAAATATGCCGTCTGCTAAAATGCAACTTTTCTTTACTAAAGGCGGAACAAAACTTCGTAAGAAATTATTCTGAAATTAATTTGGGAGGGAATTTAATTTATTGTTGACACAAAATTCTGTTCTTAGTTTTAATTAAGAAAATCCCAAATTTTTCTTTTTAAAGGCAAGATTTTTCTTGTGGATGAGGAAGATATGCTTCCACATATTTTAATGAAAGGTGTTGATGTTGAAGTCAACTTTGGTGATGATTCATCCAAGCCTTTTGTTTATGACATCAATAATCACGAGGCTGCTTATTCAAAATAACAAAAAAACTTGAATGGAAAAGAATTTAAAGGCTTTGATTTTTTAAATAATTTTTTAAATAACATATACTGAATAATAGGTAGAGAAATTGGGAAATGATTTTTGGACTCTGAAAACAAATTTAAAAAAATTTCAATAAAAAATTTTTGTAAATGGATAGAGGAAGAAATAGTTTTAATTTTTTTGATTTAAAGCTAAAATTAAAAATTATTTTCCAAAATTTCTACTTTAAGAATATTCTTGTTTTCTTATTTTTACAACTTTTAAAAATTTTTTCATTTAAATTAACTGATTTGTGGTACTCATAGAATGAGAACTTGTGATTTTGGAACAGAAATTCGGGTAATTTCAATCCTTGTCCCACCCCCCCCTCATTATTTTTTATTACCTATGATTGTACAAAATGGTCAGATTTCCTTCTTTCCTCTGTTTGAGCTCGGCATATTCAAACAAGAGACATATGTAGTTGATAAAGAAAAGATTAAAATTAATTGAGTTGTTGGTACTTATGAAGATGGAGGTGCCCTTTCTGCGGACTTTTTTTGCGGACTTTTCTTCCTTTCCTTTACATATTTTACTTGTAGCAACTAACTGTCAAAGGCCCTCCCCTATTATTTTTCTTACCTAAGTTTGTACATAAAGGTCAGATTTTCTGCTTCCTTTCCTTCCTCTATTTGCCCTGTGGCATATTCAAACAAGAGACATTGGTGAAGAGAAGATTAATTTCATAGTCATACACTTATTTTTTGCCTTCGAAAACAATTTAAACAAAAAAAAGAATTAAATAAAATTGATTTGGTGTATAACATTATGAATTTCTGTGATAAAATTTACATTCTTATATTTAAAAATATTGAACAACTGAAAAAATAAATCGTACTCAATATTGAACAACTCGGCACTACTGAAGAAAAGGGTGCTTTTTCTGCGGACTTTTTTTGCGGACTTTTCCTTTCTTTTAAATGTTTTACTTGTAGCAACAAACTGTCAAAGGTCCTCCCCCCTATTATTTTTCTTACCTAAGATTGTACATAAAGGTCAGATTTTCTTCTTCCTCTCCTTCCTCTATTTGCTCTATGGCATATTCAAACAAGTGACATTGATAAAGAGAAGATTAATTTTATACATAGTCATACACTTATTTTTTGCCTTCGAAAACAATTTAAACCAAAAAAGAATTAAATAAAATTGATTTGGTGTATAACATTATGAATTTCTGTGTAAAAAATTACATTCTTACTTATATTTAAAAATATTGAACAACTGAAAAAATAAAATCAACTCAATATTGAACAACTCAATTAATCTTCTCTTTATCAACAATGTCTCTTGTTTGAATATGCCAAGCTTAAATAGAGGAAAGAGAGGAAGGAGGAAATCTGACCATTTTGTACAATCTTAGGTAATAAAAATAATGGGGAGGGGACAAGGTTTGAAATTACCCGCATTTCTGTCCACAATCACATATTCTTTTTCTATGAAGCATTCCGAGATCAGTGATCCATTGTTGAAATTCATCATCGGGTAATTGAAAATATAGTTAAAGTCAATTTTAACGTTTATAATGTTCAAATAATGGTGAACACATATTTTTCAAATTGACATAAAAATCAATCCTTTGACCGTTAGTTGCTACAAGCAAAACTTGCTACAAGCAAGACAAACAAAACATTAAAAAAGAAACATTTAAAAGAAAGGAAAAGTCCGCAAAATAAGTCCGCAGAAAAAGCACCCTTTTCTTCAGTAGTACCAATAAATTTAATATCTAAGATTTATAGAGGTACATCATTTTTATTATAATAAAATTTAAAGAAATGCCAGTATATATTAATTAAAGAATAGTATTTTAAAATTCCAGGTAATAGTGCAGTTACCGGGCCCCCTTTTTTCTCGTTCCCTGACCATTTTGAGCTTTTTTTGAATGATATATAGTTTATTATATATCATTCGAAACAGCTCTTCGAGCTTGGTCGTTTGATACAAATATTGTCTAAATCTGATCATTCTTACCAGAATTATGAAGCTAAATCCTCGTTGGGAAAATTTTTTGTGCTAATGCAAGGGAATAAAATAAACGGTCACAACTAAATTCACTTAAGTTGGATTTCGTTGATTTTAATGTCATTCGACTCAGCTCGAAGCGTCTTTCGAATGATATATAATTTGCCATAAAATAAGAAAAAACTAGGAAAAAATAGAAAGGAAAAAAGGGGGCCCGGTAACTGCACTATTACCAAATTTCATATCTTAGAAAAAATTCTTCCGTCTTATATTTATGAACCAATATGAATATCACTTTCATCATAAATACAATAAGTTCCATCTCCTTTACTGTTTTCCATGCCAAGAACGTTTGGATTTTTACCTTGATTATTTCCTTCGAATGTTTTGCAAGGAAATACTTGATTTGCGGTTGGTCCGAGAATATGAATATTTTTGAGGGTAGCTACATCTCCATAATTTTTATTTACCCCAACAACATATTGTCCAGCTTGGAGGTTTTCTATAGTTAATCCATTCACATTTATTTTACGGTTACGATACTGTGACTGACAATTACCACAAGTACGTATTCCTTCTCCAGCACCGTTTATCTTAAATTTATTTAATTTTTTTTAATTTTGACTTTAATAGAGCGGATAATGGAATTTCTATTAAAAAGAATCGTAGATTAATGTGTGAAAATACAAACATAAAAATTGTTGACATTTAGTGTTCCAGCCCCGTCAAATTGTATGATTTTCCCTTTTCCATTTTTTGCGCCTCCACCTTGAATTGTATATACTGCACCTGGATTAGTCCCTTAAAATTTTATTTGAATACATTTTTAGCTGCAAATATCAATTTTTTAAAGTTCGGGCTGTGAGCTATACAAATCTACCATTATTAAATTTCTCTTATAAATTATGTTTGCCACTTCAAACCCCCCCCCCCTCCCCCTAAATTTTAAACTATTTCTAACCAAGAAGGGTAATAGAATCATCCGCAACATTTTCATTCCAACAATCTTCTACAAGACAATTTCCAAGACAATGAATTCCATCAGCCCCAGAGAAAATACATCTTTTTATCGTAGCTCCGTCTTCCAATTGAAATACCGGGAACATAAATTCTCCACTCCCCCACTTTCCATTTTTTAAATTCGGCACATAACGAGTATATCCACAATCGAGGGATTTATTTACAAGATATGTTTGCTCTAACTAAATTTATAAATACATAAATATATACCCCTTTAAATATTTATACCGGAATTGTATTTTTAGCTTGAGGCCAATCAACACAAAAACAAACTTCAAAAAACATTGGGAAACCAAAAATAATCAACACAATACTAATCATTTTTTATAATTTTTTTATCAATTTATTTATTATCTACCCTAAAAAAATTTTAAAAATTAATTGGTGCCCTTTGGTTATCTCTCCACATATCCTCAAATGTTTTTCTTCTTCTCCTTCCATTATTTTCATAAAGATTTTAAAAAAATGGTAAAGAAAGCTTTAATAATTTTTTGATCTAATGCTAACATTGGATAATAGGCACGATGGGTGTTTTAATAGGTTTATTTGTAATTGATTCAAAGTATTCGCATAAAATCCTAACGGGAAAGAGAGATCTACTTACCCAGAGTTATCAAGACTCTCAAGGATCAAGGCTCTTTTCCTACATCAATTTCTGATCGGACAACTATTAAAGTTACCTTTCCGTTTCTATTAATCTTTATCAAAGTAGAATTATGGGAAAGAAAATTTGAATTCTCATAGAAAAAATAACTTTATCCCCATCATTTTTTTAAAAATAATTTATAATTTTAAATTAAATTTTTTTAAAACAGTCTGAAATTTTAAAATTGGTGGAGATACTTTCGTATTAATCTTCCCTGGATAAATAAAATATAGAGAGAAAGACAAAAAAGGAATATTTTAAAATAATTTCTGGTGAATATATTTTGTAGCATTTTTATATAAATATTTTTAATCAAATTTAAAAAAAATTATTTGCCTTAGCTATAAATCATCGTATAAATCATGTGCGTCATTGCGGCAGAAAAGATAATGGGAAAAGAAGGGAGAAAAGTCGCGACGGATTTCGCCTCTCCTTTTTTTAATGTTATTTTCTGCCATAAAAACGTCAAACGACTTTTATGTTAGCACAGTATTTAAAAAATCCACATTTTCTATTAAATTTTAATTTAATTTGTTTGTACAGGTATTTAAAAGATTTTCCACATTTATTATAAGCTAGACAGAAAATTAAAAATAAAGTTTTATAAAAATTTTCTTTATTCGAGTATTTGAACCAAATTATCCACAACATATTTATCTTTTCTCTAACCCTTAACTCAGGGCTGTGTGTGTATGTTTATTTTATAAATTAAAATTTTAAATTTCATTAAATAATAAAAAAATGAATTTTAAATTTAAATTTTTTAATTTAAAATTAATTTTTTTTTAATTTTTTAGTAGAATTTAGTATTTAAAATTTTTACTTAATTTATTTATAATATTCAGCAATTTAAGCAAATCTGAAACATTTAAGAATAGAAATTTCGGTTTCGAATCCAGATATCCGAAAATTTTGGTTCGGATATTTCAGAAGATTTGCCAACCTTACGTTGAGCTAAAAAAAAGACGGAATGAGTATGGACATCACAATATCCATCCTTCAGGAAGATAAAACTGACCAATTTTAAAGTAACGGGGAAAATTGAACGTTTGAAATTTTTTGCTATTTTAAAAGTTAAATCAGGTCGGCTAGCTTTGAGGGGTAATTATTATTCCACGATATAGTCTTAATACTTATATATATCCCTCCAATCGTCTGATTGTTCCTACAACCTTTAAAGATTGACTAGGTGTCTTTATATATCCCAGGCCTGAACTTGTTGTTGTTGTGGTTTTTTTGTTTTTTATCTAGCGATCTGTTTTAAACTAGGGTTCAGCGGTATCGGGATCCCGACCGGTATCGGGCGGTATTATACCGGTCTCTTTGAATACCGATACCGATTTTACTGATACCGCTACCGAATGATAAATCCCGATACCGTTTTTGCTGATACCGATACCGAGGCCGGTATCGGTATCGGTATCGGGATTAGCGTCGGATACCGATGAACATCGGTATTTTTTAACACCCCTAAGGATCGATTTTTCATTTGTTTTATGGACGAAATTAGCCACATGGCCTTCTAAAATTCTCAAAATTTTTGCCTGCGGCGCTGTAAATTGAAGAAATCTGGCTTCTTAGTCTATAAAAGTTTTCAAAATTTTTGCCTGCGGCGCTGAAAAAGTGAATTTTTTTACCTATGGCCTTCTAAAATTCTCAAAAGTTTTGCCTGCGGCGCTAATAAGGAACAACTCTGGCCTATTGACTTTACAAAAATCTTAAAAATTTCGCCTGCGGCGCTGAAATGGGAAAAAGCTAGGCCTTTTGACCTTAAAATTTTCGATTTTGGCGCCTTCGGTGAATTAAATTTTGGCTTAAAAGTAAAATAATGTTCATTAATGAAACAAAGGTGTTTTGTTAATGAATGAAACCTAATGAAAAAAAGTTTTATCCAGGTCTGGTCCCCATATTGAGGGATATCATTCGATTATCGGGGGTATCCCTAGTACTCCCAAAATTCTACTGATACCCACCTAATCCCCAAAGTTGATTTGAGGTATAAAGTTGAATCTGGAGTATAACCTTGGATCAAGATGATATCGGAGGATTAAAGATTTGGAAGGTCTTCTATTGGTTCCTGAGATTTTTTTGTCTCGAGAATGGCTTTATAGTGCTAATTTATTATTTTTACAGCTTAATACCTTTTTCAAAATGAGGAATAAATTTATTTATTAAAGAATTTATTTATTTTTTTCGGTTTAAAATTTTTTTAGGAAATACCGATACCGATTTTTCAATCCCGATCCCGAGTCGGTATCGGTACCGGTATCGGTATCATTAACTCAAATCCCGATACCGATTTAGGCTAATCCCGATCCCGAGTCGGTACCGGTATCGGGATCGGTATCATCAATCCGAAATACCGATACCGGTTTTTTCTCGGAATACCGGTACCGCTGAACCCTATTTTAAACAGTTACACACACACAATCTATTCATTATTTAGCCTTTCAAAACTTTTTTAGAAATTTTAAAATAATTTATTTTTTAATATTTTATTTTTAGCTCAATCTAATAGTTAAAAATAAAAAAATAAAAATTAATAAAACAATTAAAGACTAACTTAAATAATTTAAAATTAGATAAAAAGCAACGATCACAAAAATGCTAACAAATTTTGAAGCTAGTGCAAGTTGTGACAAAACGAAAATTTTTTTTAAATTTCTATATTAATTTGAAGAATTGTATTTAGAAAATAAACACATTTTTTTAATCCATCCAAAATTTAATTTAAATAAAATATTTAAAAACCCTTTAAAACATATTTCTAATTTAATTTTATTTTTTCATTCTCCCTGTTTTTCCTCAATTTTTTGTTCAAAATTTCCTTCTTTATTTAACAAAAATTCATATTTTTTATTTTGTAGTAAAGGTAATATTTTAGCAATTATTTTATTAATTATTCCCTCATTTTCTTCAACAATTTCCAAACAAAATTTAATTCCTTTTTTAAATTCTTCCCCTTCAATTAATTTACTAAAATATTTAATTTTATTTAAATTTTTAATTTTTCTTTTAATTTTCCCTTCTCTTTCTTCATTACATTCTTTATTTAACGGAATAACCGATAAAAAATAATTTCCCAATTTTTTAAATTTTCCAAAAAATTCAATAAAAGATAAATTTTGAAGTGATTTTTGTTTATCAATACTTGCCGGGTCTACAAAAAATTTACAAAATTTTTTTCCAAAAGGTGGACGGAATTTTCCTTTACATTTAACTCCTCCTTTTAATAATCCTTCAATTTTTGTTAAAATTAAATAATTATTTTTTGGAAATAAAATAGCTTTATTGTCATCAAAATAATTTTCTTGGCTATTTTCTTCTTTTATTTCCCAATTAATATTTTCAATTAAAAGAGGAAAAATTTTAATAAGCTCCTTTAAAAATTATTTTTTAAATAAAGCCTAAGTATTTATAACTACTATTTCTTCTTCAGATAATACAAAAGTTTATTAGGCTGCTGGAAGAGAACCAGAATCTTTAGTTGCCGGACTGACTTATGTATTACCGAAAGTCGGCGATTTATTTTTTAAATATGTCGGCGCAATGGAATTAAATAGCAGCCTTGGAATTCAATAGTTATTTATATGCTTTACAATTATAAATTTAAAATTAAATTACCAATCTTTTAATTATATTTTCTTTAATTTTAACTTCAATACAAATATTTATTCCTTTTTTATGTTTAATTAAATCCTCAGATGAATTTAAAAAATATGTCAATCTGACATTATTATTTACTAAATGGAATGGATGAAAATGAGAATTAGGTTGTTCTATAAAATGAGGAAGAAATTTTTGTAAAAAAAATTTTTTTAGTGTTTTTAAAAATATTTTTCAAACTTTTATTTTATTTTGTGCTTATCAATAAATAATTTTACAGGATCTACAATACAAAGAAAATTTTTTTAATTTAATTAAAATTATAAAAAAAATTTTTTTACAAAAAATAATTTACTTTCACATTCCTTCACAATTGGATTAATAAAAAGTTTATGTTCAAATGGCAAAAATGTTTTTATATGTCCTTCTATAATTATTTTTTCATTTCTTATTGTTAATGAATTTAAAGTAAATACTTGTGGAGATTGTTGATTTTGAGGAAAATATTTATTTGCATTGTTTGTTTGAATAGAAATTTGTCCTTTTAATTCTTTTAATAAATAAACAGTTAAAAATAATTTTAGAAAAATAGTTTTAATTTTTAGCATTTTTGGTTGTTTTTATTTTAAATTAATTAAGTTTTGTCATTATTTTTAATATAATCTATTAAATTTATTTTGTATTAAAATTTTTTGGAAGGAAAAGAAATAATAATAAAAAAATAATAATAATTACCAAATCTTCAAAATTTAGGGATATCGGGGAGATTCGGGTATATAGAGTAATTAAGAGGGATATAGATGATATGGAGGAGATAGCTTCAAAAGATTGGGTGATATATGGAAGGGACAAATTTTTCTAATGACATAACTTAAAATAATACAAAAAAATATTTTTTAAAATTATTCTTTAATATTCTCTAATAAGTGACTTAAAAGTAACTATTTTTCAAGTTATTCAAATGGAATTGTTAATTATTTAGAGACAATATTTATTAAAATCCTTACAATCTTCACAGACTTATTAAATATTTTTAGACGTTAGACTGACACAAAATGGCACGGTATTTAATAAAAATTAATTTTTAATTTATTCCCTGTTTGTTGCCCTTAATAATATCAATGATCAAATTTTTAATGATGAAATTAGTCTAGCTGTGAAAAAATTATTTTAATGTACTCTTTGGACTTTAATTTAAATCCCAATAATAAGGGAGCTAATTTTTAAATAAAATCTATCAATTCTAGTACTTTTGGCAGGCTCAAGATAAGACTTTGAAGTTGGAGACTTTGAAGTTGTAAAAGTTGATTGATATTTTGGTATAATTTTACCTTTTGAATTATTTAATAATCCATCTAGATAGGAAAAAAATTAAAATGCAAATTTAAATTTTTGTCAACAGAAAATTCAGTATCTAAGCTGAGCAATTTTACCTTGTTCTCCTTCGAAGTTTGTTTCAGTTTAAACTTTAAGAATTTTAATTATATTTTTTTTATTTTTATTTATCACTTTAAACGGAAAATAAATTTAAAAAACTTTTACTTTCATTTTTTTTCAATAAAAAATAAATTGACGGACCTTTCACAATCTTTCTCCATCAATCCAATCATTTTTCTATTTCTTCCGTCCACCTACATAAATTTACCTTTTCTTGTTTTGCGCGTTTAACCGCCACCAATAGAACATTAAAAACTTTTCTCATTAAATTAAATCTTTTGACATTAAATAAGAATAAGTAAATAATTTTTATAGTATTTTGCTTTAAACCCGGAAAAACAATTTATTTTTTTTAATTTTTGGGTGGTCTGGGGATAATAATTATTTTTTGAATATTAATATAAATGGGCGAGGACAGACAGCTTTGGAATATATTTGTGGGAGAGCGAGGTAATCTTTGTATCCAATGATTAGGGTTGGCGCCCGATCCGGTCCTCGAATCGGGCATCGAATTTTGACTCGGTCAACCGGCCCAAAAAAATGACAAGAACGTTGGCCTGACGCGAAAATCCCAACCCTACCAATGACGCTTCTTTGTTTTACTAATGAAGTTCATCTCGATTTTCTAAACTTTCTTTTTTCCGCAAATTCTCAATCCAAAAAAAACTTCTCTCAAATTATAAAATTTCTCTAAAAATTTTAATAGTAATTTATAAATGACATTTAAATGTCAAACAAAAATATTATCAATATTAACTCAACAATCATTAACAATTTATTTAATATTTTCTTTAAATATTTTAATTTTAAATGCTGATCAACAATTGCCAGCTCAAGAAAAGGAAAATAATAATAAAGAAAATAATTCTCCTGTCCAAACAAATTGTGTTGATTCGGATCCAAAATGTTCTTTATGGGCTAGTCAAGGAGAATGCCAAACTAATGCTATTTGGTTAATTAATTTTTTTGTTTGTTAAATACTGAGATGTTTATGAAAATTAATTGACTTTAACTGTTTAATGCCATTAAATCCGGAAAACCGAAAAAAAGACGGAAAACCGAAAATTAACGAAGATCACAAATAATACAAATTATTATTATACTATGTCTAATTAAAGGATGATGACAAATTGTCGACAGTCCTGTCAAAGTTGCCAAGGCGGTGATCGTGCCTGGCAATTACGAAGTGAATTAACTAAAAACTATGATAATTCAACTTCTGCAAATGCTACAAGACTTGTTTCTGTTGAAAGTGTTAGAATACAACATATGGAAATTGTAAGTGGATTTGAAAATTAAAGAGACAATTCTCCCTCCCAAAAAAGGATGAAAATAAAGAACAAGCTCGAGTTTTTGGAAGACTTGTACTTTCCTGGAATGACTCCAAAGTTAGCTGGGATAGAGAAAGTTGGGGTTTGTCTTGGCTAAACTTCTATTGGGTACAGGTGTGGACACCACAACTTTTACAAATTAACGCGTTGGTTAAATACATAAATTTAAAAATTATTTGAATTTAATAAAAAACAGTCCTAATCCTTCTCCTGGACAAATAACAGGAAAAGTATTAGCCGCAAACTATACTGGACAAGTATTTATGTGGACTGGCAAGTTTATATATTTTAATATTTTGGATTTTTAAAAATATTTTTTGATGACAGTAAATGAGAGATAAATCACATTTTTAGACTTCAACTTTGTCGCTCCATTCAATTTTGAATATCAAGACTTCCCCAAGGACCGTCAACGTATTTGCTACCAATTTGATGATAAAAGATATTTTGCTGTTAAATTTATTGTTTCAGAAGAAGTTCGTAATCGACAGCATGAGTCTATTCAAGATGCTCATGTTTCTGGTTGGGATATTGAACAGTTGGATATTTCTGTGAGGAAATTTTTGGTTTTCAGTTTAAAGAGTAATGAAGCGATTTTGAGAGAATAATTGTGTTTCTCAAAAAAATATTTTTTTTAATTTTAAAGGACAGCAAATACACAGTGCAAATATTGGGTGACTGGCGTCAAAACCCCTTCGATATTCAAACCACAAATTGCGAACTCTGTATTGAATTACGGCGCTCAGCAGTTTATTATTTTACTGAAATGGTCTGTCCAGCATTGGTTAGCTCTGTATTGACACTTTCTTCTGTCCTCTTTCAATTAGCGTTGGGACAACCAGCAATGCTTTGTTTTAGTATTTTGTGCCAATTAATGGGATTACAATTATTAAATGCTCGATTACCTTCTTATACTGGAACAGTACCGACAATATGTAAGGAGAAGTTAAACTCTCTCTTAGTTGTCTAATTGAGGAAGATGGAAGGTCTTGAATCAACGGGATAGATTAGCTAACATTTAAAATAAAATCATTTTTCCGTCAAAATAGAGGAGTAAATAATGGTAATAATCAGTTGATTTTTGGAGTATAATTTAAGGACCAGCTGAAATGATGAAATTATTTGAAGGCTATTCTTAGCAGAGTGAATAATAAATGTAAGGAACTAAAGTTATATAGTTTCTATGCAGGTTCAATCCCGTAAAATATCCCAGAATGAATCACAAAGTCAAAGACAATTAAGCGAGAGAATTGTGTATTAAAATAAATAACTTAAACTTTTATTTAAGTAAAATACACTTCTTTCAATCTACTAATCAGTAGTTTCCTCCTACTCTCAACAATTGTTTTGCGACGAATTTCTCAAGCTAATTCCAACATCCCCCTCCCACGTTTTATCTACACACTTAGCAGTCTCTTAGATAAATGCATGCCATTGCCAAAAGGTGGAAAAGATTTACTTGAGGAAAACAGTGATAATGGAAATACTCCACTTGGAAATTATTCAGAAATTGCTTTAACTTTAAATAATTCATTATTTTCTGCAGCAATATTTATTTATATTTTGGCTTTCATTTTCTCCTTTCTTTTATAAGTTAAACGGGACTAGTTTATGTATGTAGATGTTGATAGAAAGTGATTTATGGAATTATTATATTTTTAGATTTATGTGTTTTGTAAAGAATATTATTTATATACGATTTTATTTTTTAATTCTTACTAGTCTTACAACCTTTAAAAAATAATTTATTAAAATTAATTAACAATTTTTGGAAAGAAATTGAAAACAGAATAAAAATATTTGTTAACAACAAAAAATCAACATAATTTCCAGAATAGGACAGTGATGATAAAGGAAATAATTCTCAATAACCAGACAATTTCTGATAATAAACTCGGACTAAATTACTTTTGAAATTAAATATTTCAAAAAATACCCCAACTTCAAACAAGTTTCTGATCCATCATTTTCCATCCTCTTCATCTCCACTGCTTGAACTAGAACTTGAATCTGAAGACATTTGTTCAACTTTTGGAATTTGCATTGTTCCTTCATTAGAAGTTTGTTGTTGTTTCAATCCTGGTGGCAAATTTATAGACATTTGAAGTTGTTGGCTAGACGACATTATATAAGAGCCTTGAGGGTGTTGTTGAGCAGCAACTGAAAATTTTTTTTTCTCAAATCCAAAAAAGATTTGATAACAATTTTTATAATTTATTATCTTCCTATCCCCAATCACCTTGCATTGTAGCAGCAGTACTTGGACTGACCATTTGACCTTGCTGTTGTTGTTGACTACCTCCAGCAGCACCCATCATTATTCCGAAACGAGGACTTTGTTGTGAACTGCTCCTTTGTAAAATTTTTGGAATATTACGCATAGCAGGAGATGAGAGACGTGGGCCAGTTCCTTAAAATAATCCTATATTAAATTTGAGAATTCCTGTCTGTTTGTTTGTCCGCAGCTTTAAATTTTGCTGTGTTTGGCGTTGTGTTTTATTTTTAATTAAAAATGACAAAATATCCCAAAGTGAAAATAGTGTGTAGTTAGAGAAGCAAAGAAGGAATTTGAATTTTTTAGAATATGTTTTGTATTTTTTAGTATTTTTTTGTATTTTTTGGAATTTGTTTTGTATTTTTTATAATTTGTTTTGTATTTTGTTTAAAAATTTCTAAAGTTTTTTGGTTGTTAATTATATTTAAGGTGTGTTTTGATTGTTTTTTGTTTTGTTTTTTAAAAGTTGTTTTATTTAAAATTTGTTTTTAGGTTCAAAAAATCTGATTTTTATTTAAACAACGCGATTTCCAACCGTTGGTTTTTTGTGCTGATCTTTTTATTTAAACAACGCATTATCGAACCGTTGGTTTTTGTGAGTTTTTTTTTAATTTAATTATAGTTAGGTTTTAGTTTTTGTGTTTGACAGTGTGATACTAAATAGTTGAAAGTACTAGAGTTTGACATTGTGTGATACAAATAGACAAAATTACTAGAGTTTGACATTGTGTGATACTAAATAGACGAAATTACTAGAGTTTGACATTGTGTGATACTAAATAATTTATAATTGATAGTACTAGCAAGGTTGACATAGTGTGATGCTAAATAGTTGAAAGTCCTAGAGTTTGACATTGTGTGATAGTTGAAAGTACTAGAGTTTGACATTGTGTGATACTAAATAGACGAAATTACTAGAGTTTGACATTGTGTGATACTAAATAGCTTATAATTGATAGTACTAGCAAGGTTGACATAGTGTGATGCTAAATAGTTGATAGTCCTAGAGTTTGACATTGTGTGACACTAAATAGTTGAGAGTACTAGAGTGACTAACAGTTGTAGTATATATAGTAAAAAAGTTCTTTCACTATTAACTATTAACTAACAGTTGTAGTATATATAGTAAAAAGTTCTTTTACTATTAACTTACAGTTGTAGTATATATAGTAAAAAAGTTCTTTTAATATTAACTATTATAGTAGAGTAGTACTAAAGTAGAGTACTAAGGTAGAGTACTAGAGTTTGACATTGTGTGATACTAAATAGCTTATAATTGATAGTACAAGCAAGGTTGACATAGTGTGATGCTAAATAGTTGATAGTCCTAGAGTTTGACATTGTGTGACACTAAATAGTTGAGAGTACTAGAGTGACTAACAGTTGTAGTATAACAGTTGTAGTATATATAGTAAAAAAGTTCTTTTACTATTAACTAAAAGTTGTATTATATGTAGTAAAAAAGTTCTTTTACTATTAATTATTAACTAACAGTAGTATATATAGTAAAAAAGTTATAGTATATAGTAAAGAAATATATAAAAATTATATAGTAAAATAGTTAATAGTTAAAAATTAATAGTTGATGATTAATAGTTAATAGCTGAAATTCAAAGTTGAAAATCTTGGTTATCAGTTGATGAGTTAATAGTTGATAGTTAATAATTAATAGTTGATTCATTTTTTAAATTTTAGTCTTATTAAATAAAAATGAGAGGCAATATAAGAATTGTATTGGATGATATTGACGATATCCCTTCAACCAGTCAAAACAATCTGACAGGGTTGGTCTGGCAGGGTTGGAATAATGGTGAGCGAAAAGGGTCCCGTAAGTGGGTGAAATAAGTCTGGCAGTGGTTGGAATAATGGTGCGCGTAAATGGTCCCGTAAATGGGTGAAAAGTGCCTGGCAATGGTGGGAAGAAAGATTTCGATCAATAAACAAGAGGAAAGTGTCCGTCAAATGGCGTGAGAAAAGGGTTCGTCAAAAGAGCCCGTCAATAGGAAAAAGAATATAGTCATTCAATAGGCTTGAAAAAACGGTCCCACAAATGGTAAAAAACGGTAATGTCTGAGATGGAAGGGTGACGACGTTTAAGTGACAAGGGTTGTTAATAGTTGATAGTTAATAGTTGAAAATTAATATTTGTAAGTTGATTAAAGTTAATAGGTGTACACCAATATTTGAAAGTTGGTTAATAGTTAATAATTGAAATAGATATTAATAGTTAATAGTTGGAAATTGAAAATATTAGTTAATAGTAGAATCATAGTTGAAGGTTGGCTAATAGTTGAAAGTTAATATGTGAAAGTTACTTAATTGTTAATAGTTAATAACTAATAGTACTCGAACACCTATCAACTAAGAGTAGATAGTTAATTGTTATAGTTAAAAGTTGATAGTTATAGTTACTCTAACACAATCAACTTGGTAAATTGTTAATTGTTAATAGTTGATAGTTAATAAGTGATAGTACTCGAACACTATCAACGAAGTGTAGATAGTTAATTGTTAATAGTTAATAGTTAATTGTTAAGAGTTGATAGTTGATAGTTAATTGTTAATAGTTGATAGTTAATTGTTAATAGTTGATAGTTTAAAGTTAATATTTTAAGTTTTGTTATGATTTAGATTTAGTCTAGCGGAGGCGCTCGCCCGAAGGGCGAGCACCTTCGCTAGTTTTTCAAAAAAATCTAAAAATCTCTTTTCTCTTACCACTCCCTGGCGGCCGTCCTCTCGGTGAACCACTACTTCCTGCTGTTGAAGTTCCTCCTAAAGCATTTAGAAAAACATTTGCGGATGAAACAGTGCGTGCATTTGGAGTAAATGTTTTTTGCCGTGGCATTCCAGGAATGTTAAAAAGAGCTGTTGATGTATTCATTTGGTCTTAAAAATTAAAAAATACAAAAATAATTTAAAGTTCTATTTTTAAAGAATTCCCTTTAGGTAATTAAAAGTGCCCTTAACAATCACCTTGCCTAAATTATTAAGAAAAATGAAATTCTTTTTACTGGTAGACTGGATTTAATTTTAAATAGGTATGTCTATCAGTCAAGGGAATAAATTTGAAAAAATTAAAACAATACTCATTTGCTGTGTTCTGCTCAACAACAAATTACTAACTCTAAAATTTGCTTCAGTTGGATAGGGCCTTGATGGATCTCCTTGTTGCCAATAAACAGAGGAAGCAACGGAATGATTTTTGCTTATTAAATGAGCATATCGAACAATATCTTCAGAGAAAACACGATTCATTTCTGATTGTTTTACCGATTTTAGTTTCTTTTCAGCCTATAAATTGAAGAATATATTTTTAAAAATTCCTACTAAACCTGAAATGTTGCCTCAACCAAAGAATTATCAATAATTTTAAGTTCACTGGCAATTTTGCTAATTAAATTCTCTCGAGAATCAACCAATCCCTCCAATGTTCGAATATAAGTTTCTCGTTCTTGATGTGCATTTACTTAAAATAAATTGATAAAATTATTCCACTACAAAAAGAGGAATTTTGAAGGAAGAAAGTATATGAAACAATTGGATTATTCAGCTAACAATAGAAAAGGAGCTAGCATTTTATTTTAGGGACACGCCCAAGTAGGCGCGCTGCCTTAACGGCAGCAAAGCCATAACCTCTTGGAAAATTTCTGGCTCTTATCAATTTTGGACCAATCTCTTTAACTCGATGAGAGATCGTTTAATACTAAATTAGGTAAGATTCGGAAATTTTGAAGCTAGATATGGCTTTTCCTACGTGGGTTGTACACATAAAAGATATTCCAATTTCAAAATAAAAAACTTCTTTAAAAACCTCTATTAAGTAAATCAACAAATTCCACTTGTTTCTGATTGTACTGCTCAAGAATAAATGAAATATTCGATTGAAGTTCCTTTTCTGTCAATTTCTTGTCAATATATAAACATTCGAGTATCTAAAATAATTTTATAATTTAGAAATTAAACACAAGAAAAACCTGTTTAATTAACAATTCCAAATCATTAATGACATCATTTAATTGCTCCTTAAGTCCCAAACTTTTTAAATACATATTAAAGCTTGATTAAAATTAAAATAAAAAATTATTTAATTTAAAAGAAATTTTGATTTGTAACATTTAAAAATTAAAATAGAGTCAAAAATTTTATAATTTTTATAAAACAGAAAAAGTAGTTACAAATAAAGTTAAAACAAAATAAAAAAGAGAAAAAATAAAAACAAAAATAAAGCCCGGACAGTTCGAGTTATCCAAACTTGTACAGATTTTTAACACCAAATTTTGGGCGCTCCGACTCGGGCACAGTGATCCATTTGCACAGTAAGACATTTGCACAGAGGGCATCTGCACAGTGGACAATTGCACAGTAATTTGTGGTTAAGTGGATTTGTGTTAGACTTTCTAATAAGTTTTTTAATAATAAAATGGTTTTTCTTAAACAAAAACAATTTTCCCTGTTCTATAAGCAACTTTTCCCGTTGTTGGAAAAGTTGTTCGCGGGAGACGAAAACTCGCAGAGATATAGGCTCCCGAAAATCGAAAAACAATAGAGGAAACCAAGCTGTTTTTGGGGTAAAAAATTCGAAGTTGCAAATTATAGCTCATTCGAAAGAGCTCTTCGAGATGAGTCGACTGACACCAGAATCATCTTGATCGGATGATTATGAACGACGTTATGACCTATAGGTGAGTGAGCCTTGCGTTTATTTGTAGAGTTTCGCGAATAAACAGGCGTTTTGCGAATAAATGGGCAGGTCGTTTTGCGAATTAACAACACTTTACTGTGCAAATGTCCACTGTGTAATTGTCCTCTGTGCAATTGTCTTACTGTGCAATTGGATCACTGTGCCCGAGTCATGCCACCCAAATTTTGTGTGCATTTTTACAGTTAAAGGCTCTCATTTATGTGAAATGAGATATCAAAGGGGAAAAATAAAAACTATAAAATTCAATGAACTGACCGGCACCCAATAAAAAAATAAACCTAAAAAAGAGAAGAATCACTGAATGATGAAGTGAGAAAAATAATTTAAAGCATTCCTTTCAAAGCTCATCACGTTCACCTTCACCATCCTTTTTAAATTCAGGCTCGTCTTTATTTTCGCTCTTCTCATCTTCCAAGTTTTCTTCATCCTTTTTGTCATCTTTATCAGTTTCTTTCTCATCATTCGTTTTTTCATCATCTTCTATAAAAATTTTAAAATTTTATACAGAAAATAAAAGTTGGAAAAATTAAAGCAACAAGGATACGAAATTGAGAGGTAGACCCTAATGACTTAAAGCCCTAATAAAGAATTGTACATAAAACCAACCCCGACTAATTGTAAATAAAATTTAAAAACTGAAAACAAGCTAGAAATTTAAACAAGTGCCTGAATATTGCTTCATCCCGTCTTTTATCACCAACATCATTCAAATAAAAATACATGTCGATTAGAGCAACAATAAAAATAGTAAGAATATTTAGCCCAATTGCTAACGGTTTTTGATAGGCGAAAAAGACAAAAAATGAAATCAATAAAAGACACAAGTATGCAATTAAACGAAGTGATTGAATTGGCCCGATGAAGAATGGAGAAGGGTGAGCTACAAAATTTTAGGATTTTTCTCATATTTTCAGACTCAAACATTAAATTTTGATTAACATTAAATTTTGATTAACCTTCAATATCCAATTCGCAATTTCCATCTTTAGAACGTTTGTAGCCTTCCTTGCATTTACATTCATAAGATCTAAAAAAATAAAAATTTTTTTAAATTTTAGAATGAAATTGATTAATACGTATCAACAAAATAAAATATAGCTTAATTCCAAAACTTTATGTTAGTTAGGCTGCAATTCCAAAACCGAAGGTCGGAATTCTAATCAAACTATTTTACTGTTCCAAAAAATGAACGGTAAATTTTAATTAAATATAAATCACCCTGGAGTATTCACACAAACTTCATTATCTTTTTGACATTTTAGTTCATCTTCCTTGCATTCATCAACGTCTTAATATTATTTTTAAAAATTTCTAAATTTAATTAAAAACCTATACAGCCATTTTCCTCATCCATTTTATATCCACTTCTACAAGCATTGCAACCTTTTGGCCCAGCAAAAGTGCATCCACTACCACAGCCGTCAAAACATTCTTAAAAATTAAATACTGAAATACAAATTAAAAATAATTTTCTTATTTTTAATTTTTTAAATTCCAATTAAAATAACCAAATTATAAAGAATCAGAGGACCATGACATTCAATAAATGTAGCATTTTGAGTTATTGCAAAGAAGCTGGAATCACAATTGCTACACAATTTTCCACTGTATCCACGATGACAAGAACATGTTCCATCCCCAGAACGTTTGCCGTCTCCCTTAAATGTAAATCGTTACTTGAAAAATCCGAGCAAAACAATTAAGGGTCTCAAAAAAATTCTATGAAAATTCAAAACTTACATCACAAAATCCTCGACCAAAGCACGCCTTTTGGGATTCCTTTAAACCAGGACATGCTGAACATTCAGGGCCAAAATAACCAGAATCACAGCAATAGGAAAGTTTTTTGACGCAAAGAAAGGTTTCTAAACTTGGATCAATTTCTTGGCGATTGTAGAACCAATCTTCCAAGTGTTCTTCATTCGTTTCAGCAAGTGAATGGCACTGAAAACAAAAAAGGGAATAAGTAAAAAAATTTGAGAGAAACCTTAAATCTTTCATCTTTTTCATCATCTTGACAGATATGCTCCATAATTTCAACAAAACGAGTTTCACTTTAAAAAAGATAAATAAAAATTACAAAAATTGTATTTACCTTGTCTTAAATTTTCCAAGTTTTTTCTCTTCCCAAGCAGTATTTCCACCACCAAAATGTAAATTTTCAGTTTTAATGAGACCCTTAAAAAATATTTATTTAAATTAAAAAAAATCATTCCAACCTCTATAAATGTTTTTGATAAAACTCTGCAGGTTTTACATTGCTCTTCAATTTTTAAGGATGGAAAAAGATGAAATAAATAAAATAAATTAATTAGAAACAAATACATTTTATGAAAAAAAATGTCTTCTGAATAATAGAAAAAAATAATAGTTTTTACAATAACATCTAAAATGAATTTAAAAACGATCTAAAAATCAATCAAAAATTACAAAGACCCAATAAAAATTTGACACATAAGAATTGGAAAGATAAACAATTTGAATTTTTATTTAATTATTTAATTTTGGCAAAATGTTTTATAGCTGAAAAAATATCCTAAAAAACAAAAATTGGGACACGCCCAAGTAGGCGCGCGGCCATGTAGGCGCAAAGCCATAACTACCTGGAACTTTTCTGGACCTTAAAATTTTTGGTACCATTCTCTTTAGCTCGATGAGAGGAATCGTTTAATACTAAATTTGGTAAGATTCGGAAAACTTGAAGTAAGTTATAGCTTTGCGCCTACATGGCCGTGCGCCTACTTGGGCTGTACCCACAAAAATTCTAACAAAAACTTTTTTCCTGTTTTTAGGCTCGTGTTTTTTCGGACTATTTAAAGAAAAAAATTTTTTCATACTAAAAGCCATATTTTTCTCAGATTTAACTCACAGAGGTTTATTTTCTGTCAATGTTATTGCAATGAAACGACGGCAACAACGGAAGAAAGCGAGCCCAGTAAAGCAACTTGAAACAAATTCTCGAGAAGAGCGTCAGCAACGAACGAAGCCTTCATCGCGATTTCCTCTTCAAAGTAACAAAAAACGTGGCGCCCGTGTTGAAGTTAAGTCGGAAGCAGCAAATCTTGGAAGATGGGGTTCAAAGGAAATCAATAATTTAGCGGTATATTTTCAATCGATGATTTTTTTAATTTCTAAATTTTAGATGGCGTTGGGACTTGCTGTCAATCCTCGTTCGGACGAAGACTGGGAAAAGATCGCAGAAACTGTTGGGAAAGGATGTACACGTAAAAGAAGCGGGGAGGAATGCAAAATGCGAGCTGAAAAGACTGGCTTATTGTTAACTGCTACATCTACTTCAAATAATGCCAGCAACGGACGTTGTACTCAACTCTCAAAACCTGCACGAAGTGATAAACCGATAAAGTCTCTCTTTGGCTCTGAATCGGAAGAATCAACGAGCGAAATTCATCGCAAACATTATGATGATTTCTTTGCAAAACAGGTTATATTTAGTGCTAGAAGGGAATATTTTTTTATTTGACTTTAGGGTCAATTTATGAATGTATTTCTGATTTTTAAAAGTAGAAAATTTAATGATAGCCTTTAAAAGTCTGAGATTAAACTTATTTTTCCAAATTTTTATTTTCGATTTCCAGACCAGATTTCCTCATTAACCAAATTTATCACAAATTTCAGAAATCACCAATCACAGAATGTTTGGACATGGACGACACTTTGGTGCGTGTATGCAGCACTGAAGTTTCTACTTATCCATATGTGCGTCTTCGTAGCACCCGACGTCCGTTTATGATGAAAATCTTGTTTGAGGATGGTTCTAAAGACGATGATGGGGATTGCTCTTTTAGCGAGATTGAAACGAATGGATAAAGCAAAACAGAAGGGAAACAGTCAGGGATCGCGTCTTCCGGTGATTTTGTTTAGAAATGTTTCTTTATTTTACCTCAACAATGTAATAGAGAGCTTAATTCACCCAAGTTAGGTGTTTTTTCTAATTTAGATTGTATTCTATTTTTGCTTTGATTTTTTAATTTTTTCAAAACAATTTTTGCAATTCTAAAATACCTAATTTTTAAAATTCAAAGCAAAAATATTTTTTTTCGATTTCCATAGATTTTTTGTTTTCATTTCCTGTTTGGTCTCAATTTGATGTAAATTCTACCTCTTCCAAAATTATGATAGTTTTTCTATCAAAATTGTTCCTATCTGTGCAATTATAGTAAATGACCTTGTGATTTTTCACATTTGTCAGATTTCTAAAATAAATTTGTTAGTCTTCTAAAGAATATTCTAAAATAATTCCTTTTAGGGGAGTTTTTTTATGTAAAAATTATTTTTAAAAAAATATTCAAATCTTTAAATGTTTATCGATAAATTAGAAAAAAAAAGAGTATTAAATTTTACAAGAAAAACAATTTACATTTTTAAAGAAAGTATATGTTGGTACAGGAGTGATTATGTAAAAATATATAGTTGAGGTTAGAATGCTTATTGACAATTAATAAGGTATAAAAAGTACATAAGGCTGTCTTGAGACGTTAGAAGGGACTGATATATTTTTGCTAATCTCAACTATCCAAAATAAAGTTACCAAAATTATAAAAAAAGTTTTTTATTGTAAATAACTTAGAAAAACATTTTCAAATCCTTTCAATTCCATTGATTCTCATAAGCAGCTTCGTGCTTAACAATGTCATAAGTGAAAGGCTTGGTGTCATCTATGCCAAAGTTGACCTCTGCATCGCAATTCTTAACAATAATGTGTGGAAGTAAATCAACATCTTCAGACATCAGAATTGTCTTGTCTTAAAAATTTAATTAAATTTTTAGAGGTAATGATAAAATGCGGGTTGGATTTGAACAACTTCACTGAACATAATAGAGTCTCCTTTTACAGTAGTGTGTTTTACCATAAAAGCTTACATTAACATAATTTCAAGGAGGTTAAAATGAAAATCAGTCAGGCATAACCTTGGTCAAATAAAAATTAAAAATCTATACCAATTTGCTTTCCATTCATTGTAAAGAATATTTGGGTTGGAGCATTCGGCTTGTTGCGTGGAGGAAAGATCTGACCAACTCCAAAAACAACACTGCCAGTAAGAGGCTCGCTAAACATTCGCTTAGTAGTAGCAGTGTAATAGTGACCATCACTACTAACGCGGAAGAAGCAATTGGCATCTTTGTAGAGACCAATTTCTGCTTTACAACTAAAAAAATTTTTAATTTAGCATTGGAAGTGTGGGTCTGATCGGAAAGAGTAGAAATTTTATCTAGCTAACTTTCGGAAAAAAATACGGCAAAATTTTTAAACACTCAAAACCCACTCAATGTTCTCATCGGTGTCCGGAATGACCTTCATCTCAGCATAAAAGACAACATAAGTCTGTCCTGAGACGTCAGAAGGGATATTAGCCCTCATAAATTCACTCTCAGCAACGACCATTATTGGATGATTACCCTCTTTAAAAGATTTTATTTAAATGAATATCAGAAAAATAATAATAACCAAGATTCTGAGTAGAACTCAGATATTTTGCCAAAATACCGCATTTCTGTATCTTGACGATTCCATTACCATTACGGCAAAGAGAACCGGCAGGCAAACATTTCGAATCACAACAGCTCATAACCTCAGCAATTTTTGCCAATTTGTTCTTGGACAAAACAAACATCTTGAAATTAAGCATTTAATGATTTTCTGAAAGGTTTTAAGAGATCTTAGGAGATAAAATATTAAATCAGAGAAGAGAAGCAAAATAGAGACCAATTTTTAGCCAAATACTACAGAATACCGTAAATACTCGAATAGAAGCCCATCTCTAATATAAGCCCATCTGAGAGGACCCATTGAAAAATACAAGCCCAGGGCTTCTATTAGAGTAATTACAGTATTTACTATTTTTCCTTTAAACTCACCGTTATAGGTTGTGGTGGAATGTTTCGTTCCACCAGCTTTTTGAGTTGTTCCATCGTTGAGTCAGCTTCTTGTTGCTTTCCAGACTGCTCAGAAATACAAAAAAAATTAAAAATTTTCTTTTTAATTTCGTACATGGATTTCTCCAATTTGTTGATAAACATTAGTAACTTTTAGTTGTAACTCCATAACAATAGTACAAAGACTATCGTATTTGTCCGCGTTTTTCTTGAGATTTTCGTCCATAGCAGTCAAGCGTTTAATCATTTCATCACGAAATGTTAAACACTCCGAGTTGGTACAAGATTCAATGTCGTCAAGCGAGTTAGCGATAGATATGGTAGATAATTTTCGATCCATTTTCATGGAAAGAATTTGATAATGCTTAAAATCTGATAGTGCTTAAAAATAAATTAATGAGGAAAATTTTAAACAAAATAAAATGATAAATTTAAAAACAGAAGGTAGAAGGTAAAATTTCTCTATTTTATCAATTAAAGCTATATTTTCAGTCAGTTAAAGCTATATATCAGGGGTGGCGTTAGTCGTATTTTTTGAGAGATCTCGTGAATCTCGTGTCTCGTATTTTGTGGCACTTGCGCCACCCCTGCTATATATGTAGCAGGGTTTAGTTAAAGCTATATAGTAAAAGCTATATTTACATAAATGCTTATACGTAAAGCAACCAAAAGATTTTTATAAATATATTATTTTGTGTTAAAAAATATATTGATAATTAAGTAGAAACTTATGCCGATATTTAATAAATAAAATGAATAAATGATTAAAAAAAGAAATTGACAGGCATTTTATACTTGGTCATTTACTGTTGTAATTATTAAGGTCATCTAATGGCATGTGAAAATATTCAAAGTTTTGTCTGTTTTTTTTTGATAAAAGAATGTAATTAGACAATTTTTGCATTAATAAATTCAAATATTTGCTTTAAGACTGTTACACATAAAAAGTTTTGTGAGTAAAAATAAAATAAAAAAAAATTGTCTTGAAAAATTTGAAATTCAAAAGAAGCTTGATTAGATAAAAATGATATTGAATTCTAATTTAGTAATTCTGTTTTGTTATTAATTCGAAGAAAAAAAGAAAAGATAGTAGTACCAAATTAATTAAAATTTAAAATGTCGACTTTTGTTAAAAATTTTTTTTTGAACATTTCCAAAGAACGATGTATCTAATTTATTTCAGATCTCAAATCTCTAAAATCAAAGGAAAATGTTTATCTGAAAGCCCATAAAATTTGCTGCAAACTTAGGTAAATTTGCCGTTAAAAAATTCATGGAGATAAAGGCCAAGAAGTTGAATAATTTTTGGGCCAGGAAATTGAATCAAATCATTTTTGGGGTATTTTAGGAGGTTTTGAGCATTTCTAATGTAAAGAGGATCAAAAGATATTTTTTAGAAAAATGAAAGCTCCGTACTGTTTTATAGAAAATTTTATGGGCTTTCAGATAGGTCTAAAATAAAATTTTTAATGAAAGCTCTATGGTGTTAAAATATTTTTTGAAGTGCTGTATCCCCACACTCCAAGTGCGAAAAATCTTGTCTTCTTGGCAAGTGACCAAAATTTAATTAGGTAGTCAAATTGTAATCTCTAGATTTTTAAAATCACATTTATCTTTAATAAAATTTTTTAAAATTTTAAACAGTTTTTTTCTTTGATTTTTACGATTCCACCTTGATTTTCAATCATTTATTCTAAAAATTATAAGCATAAAAATATTTTGTATAAGAAGTACTTATAATCATTATAATTACTATACCTCTTCTAAATATACAAGTATTGTTATCGAAGAATGTTTGAGATGAAAACAATAGGATATTTTTATGTTTGTTCTTTTGTTAAACAAAAAAATATTTTTTTTTTGTAAATTTAAGAAATAAAATAATTAACAAAAATTAAATAGTTTAACGGAGACTTCTACATAATTTGATATAATTCTTCATAAAAATTGTCTGTAATTTCATCCCTTACAATTTTAAAAAATCACTCCAATTACAATTTCCACTCCCGAATTTGAAGTTGCTATTTTTCTGCAATAAATGAAGAATAATAGAGTTACAATTTAGCTGAGTTTATCGAAAATTAATAATTAATAAAAGGTAGTAGTTTATATTTCAAACAAGCGTTCATCGAATAAAATCATTCAATAAATCTTCTGACAGTCTGTTGCTACCTGACAGCTTTGGCCTTTAAATAATATTTTCTAATTTTCTCTTTCTCTTTTTCTAATTTGTTTTACATAAAAATATATTTTTATGGCCACTATTTAATTAAATAAATTATTTTATTAATTAAATAATAAAATTATTTTTGTTAAATTTAATATTTAGTCAAATCTCATTATACATTCACCCAAAATTACATAACACTTTCGATTTTACATACATATTTTAAATTATTTTTGGCGACTGTTTGTGTGGTGGTAGGCTGCCTAAATGATATGAATAACCAACCTTGAATATAGCTTTAGTTTTACATAAATTTTGCGTGTCCCCGAGAGTATGTAAAATCAAGATTCTTTTGTATTGGAAAAAGTTAATCTCTAACATTTAAGTGGGGGCTTTATTACTAACAATAAGCAACTTACTATTATTATTTCCATCAATTTAAAATTTTCTTATTTAGATAGTTCTATTGTTTTTCTTATATTTTTTATGAAGTTGGTTTCTTTAAAATAAATTCACATTCATTTGTGATAAACCAGGGCTCGGATCGACAAAATGCCACTCAAAAGTATCAAAATCTTGTAAAAAAAGTACATAGGGAGAAAATTTGCTAATAAAAAGTACGCTCCAAAAATTTCGGGTACGGGTTTCGAGTTTAGCGAAAATTCTTGTTATTTTCTGGTTATATGGGTGATATAGAGAGAGGCAAATTTGAAGAGATTAAAAAGACATTGTGGGATTTGGGGACTAAGAGGGATATCTTGGTATAATTCCACTATATACTAATATCCCTCCGCCTTATCTTTATTAAAATCTCCAATTTCCTCCCGTTTTCAGCGCCGCAGGCAAAAATTTTGTGAATTTTGGAGGTCCTTAAGCCAGATTTCTTCCATTTTTTGCGCCGCAGGCGAAAATTTTGAGAATTTTGGAGGTCCTTAAGCCAGATTTCTTCGTTTTTTCAAAAATGTTGA